CTTTGCCTAGGAGGCCTTCTACAAGACAGTAGCTGGATGCAGTTAACATCTGCCCAAGATGAGTATTTTTATTGAGACACCATCTCTAGCCTTTACTCAACCAAGAGCCCCAAGGCAGGGGAATTTTTAGTCGGAGTTTATTTCTCCTAGCCTTTGCATAAGAAGAGCACACTCTGCAAGGCAGCAGGGCTTGTGGCAGGTGGTACTAAGTTACGTGATACCAGTAGCAAGATTGATCTCGATTATCCTGATCTGACCTGGAGTAGTTAAAAGGAGTTACTTCCCACAACAGTACTTTGAGAAAACCAGGCATGATATTTTGGAAGTGCATTAGGAAAAACACTGCATCTAACAAAATACAGGAGTCTAAGGTGAGTGTAGGTTTTGTAGTTGGAGTAAGTAGTTAGTTACTGTGCTCACGCTGCATTAGAGTATAAACAGAACACAAACAAACATAAATATAAACATAAACATAAACATAAATCAACTTATGGGTGAGTCAACACCGCGCCAGAGGTTTAGACAGAACACAAACATACATAAAAAGCATAAAGTAACTTACGAGTGAGCGAACACCGCGCCAGAGGTTTAGACAGAACACAAACATACATAAAAAAACATAAAAAACATAAACATAAAGTAACTTACGGGTGAGCGAACACCGCGCCAGAGGTTCAGACAGAACACAGACATACATAAAGAACATAAAGTAACTTACGGGTGAGCGAACACTGCCACAGAGGTTCAGACAGAACACAAACATACATATAACGTAGATTACAGGTGAGCTAATACAGTAACTAAGGCACCTCCAATTATATGAAAAAAAAAAAAAAAAAAAAAAAAAAAAAATTACTATAGGCATGACTGATATAAGATAGTACTGATGACAGGAAGAACACTCCTTCCAGCCTTTGCTTAGAAAGCAAATCCTGCAAGGCAGCAGAACATGGGACAGGTTGCACTGGGTTACATGTTACCAGTAGCAGGATGATCATGAAGACCATACTCCTGACCTAGCTCATTAATAAGATTTTCAATTAATGGAGAAGTAATGCTATGTTTAAAATAGTCATAAACTGTATTTGTTGGATAGTTATCCCGGTAAACCTGGACATTACACAATCTAGGTCTCACTTCTTGTATATCAAGAGTTTTGGCCAAACTAAGAGCGATAGTGTACCATTCAGTGTGATATATATCAATTTTATTTTTAATTTCTAATAACAGATTTTTTAGATTAGTTATTTCAAAACACTGCTGGGATATGTCAAAAGGTTTAGTTCAAAGAGTTACAGTAATTGCATAAAAAAAATCCATTAATTGTTTTGTAATAACTAAACTTACAATAAAAAAGAAATCTGTTAATAATCTTAAAAAAGAAGAGGATTTGGAAGCAGTTTCACTGTTATATTCCTTTGACTCATTTAATCCCATCTCCTCTAAAGCATGAATAATAGGTATAAAATTATCAAAAAAAACATCAACACCTCTCAGTTGTTGAACCCATCTTGTTCGACAAGTATCTATTATTTTTTCTTGATTTGGACTTGAATATTTTTGGAGACAGTTACTACGTTTAGGAGATAAATAAGAAATTTCTTTTACTTGGCCAAGATTTTTTACTTTTTGAACTTGGCATGCAGCTGCTACTACTAAACTAAATCTATGGCTTGCACAATGAACAAATATAGCTTTATGATTAAGAGCTTTTATTCGAGAAGCAACTCCTTTATACTTACCTGCCATACAACCTGCACCGTCTTGCAATTGTAGAGGTCAACCCTTGACCTCTACAATTTTGAATATCAAGTCCAAACTCTTGAAGTGCATTAAGTACATTTAGAGATAGACTAAGACCAGATGTACCAGTCTTGCAATCAATAAATCTTAAGAAATCCTCACAAATCTCATTATTTGAATTTACATATCTTAAAACAAGTGACATTTGTTCAGTATTTGAACGTGTCACATGATAGTGCCGAAAATATTTATCCTCGAAAATATCACAGAAGTATTTCACAACCGAAAATTTTAGAACCGAAAAGTATAATTTTATTGCAGGATCGAATTACAAAATCCTTTCTTGCGCCAGTTTTTAAACCGAATTTTACAACCGAAAAAATTTGGATCGAATTACAAAATCCTTTCTTTTTTTAATCTATTTTTTTTTTATTATTAAAATTTTACTATTAAAATATATATACATATATCTTATACTGCTGAGTTAGGTGAGCATGATGATGTCATACTAACCTAACGTCAAATAGCCTGCTGCTGGGGGCTTCAGTACATACATCGACTGACAAATAGCCTGACTTGCAGTGGAGTGCTGCTACATCGACGGAGTGCTGCTACATCGACTGATTTTTTACTTTTTCACTAAAAGGTCTTCCTCTTTTTTAGACGGTTCTGCCATTATGCCATGCATTTGTTTCAAATGTCTTGAAGTTTTTATCATTCTTTGGGAAGCAGAAAAATAGTTTTGTATATAGTCAATGTTCCAACTCTCAGGAACCAAAGTTAGTAATTTAAGTTTTTCTGATTTTGTATAAATATTAAACTTTCCTTTAGTTAATTCCATTAGTGAGTCCAAGTCTTTTTTACTGTTGCAACATAGCTCTTTTGTTTTTGGTTCATCATTTATTAAATCGGGAGAAACTTCTAAAACAGTTTTTTTTTTTTTTTTGGTGGTAGTATGGATCTTGTTTATCTTTCTTTTTGCATAGCTGACCTTGTCTTTATGGGCTAAGATTTATAGTTTATGGGCTAAGATTTATAGGTTAAGAGGTAAACAACCAAGGCTATTAATGTATAAATTAAAGTTTTCTTTTGAAATATGAATCTCATTAAAATAATTGTCATTATTTTTACATGAATTGCTTTCATAATCTTTTTTGTTATTTTTTAAATACAATACTTTATGACATTCAGTACAAAGCTTATAACCAGGTATTAAATCAAATTTCTTTTCAACAGCAACACTGATTACTCTGACATATTCTAAAAAGAAACAAAATGATAAAACATTAAATAAGCCTTTATCTTTAAAATAATTGATTATGTCAATTTATTTTTAAATGCTTTTTATTTTAATTTTGTGTTTGTTGAATGGATCACAACCAAAGCATCCATCGTACGAAAACTCAAATCTATTCAAGATCTTTTCATGGTGATAATAAATAGTTTTTATATGATTAACTTACATCTTAAGTACACAAGTTCTTGATTTTTATTGGTTAATTCCTCAAAACATTTGTTTTTCTTGAATTTGGTAAATTTTCCTTCATGACAATTTTTATTTAATGTTTTTCCAATCCAACATTGAGTTAGATCTAAAGATGCACTAGCCATTTATTTTTAATTATTATCTTAGTTATCTGCAGAATGGCATTTTATTGTTACATCGCATGGAGAGAGTGCTTGTGATAGTGTTGGGGGCACTGTCAAAAAACTTGTAGCAAATGCAAGTTTACAATCACTAACTGATCCTATCAATTCATCTGAGAAAATTTATGATTGGTGTAGACAAAATATTAAAGGAAAACATTTTCAATACATTTCAAATGATGCAGTTACATTACATTGCATAAATTTATTTAGTTTCAATTTTTGAAGTATAAAGTAAAGTTTCCATGAGTTTTGACATAATAATTAAATACAAAATGATAAATTTTATATATAAAGTAAAGATAAAAAGAACACCCAATAACTTGTTTATCATTTCACAGCTTTTAAATGTATATGTTCAATTCTTATTTTGCGCATAAAGACATTATGCATTTGAAAAAAATCAGTAAAACCTTCAATAAAAAATTTCTTTTAAGATAAAGGTTCTGTGCAAAAATACGCATGTTAAAAAGTAAATGGACAGGGGGAGGGGTGGCAACTAAGGCTATTTAAAAACTAAGTTTAATTCAGTTTAGTTTATAGCTTATTTCTAGTAATGAATATGATATACTTATATATATATATATATATATATATATATATATATATATATATATTATATATATATATATATATATATATATATATATATATATATATATATATATATATATATATTTTTGCATTGCAGTAGATAATAAAAACTAAAGTACATCAATATCTATATTTTTATAGTTTTTAATGCATTTTGTGCCAACTTAATTGCTCTGACTTTGTCACTTCCCCATGAGTACCCACTAATTTTTTTTCTGAAATCACTTTAATAAAGTCTGTTAAATCAGTAAAAAAAAAATTTATTATGAAAATCAGTGTTGATCCTAGGTTACCGGTGGTTTAAAGGAAAGGCACAATTTTTAAAGTTTTATCCAGAACCATTTTTAGGAGTCCACTATTTCTTACTGAATTGTATCTTATAAGCAAATTTTTAAATATTTGGAAGCCTACCATATATAGAAACTAAAAAGATATGTCTTCTCACTTCTTAAGTTGCTAATTTTGTATATTGACCCATCAAAAATCAATTTTTTATATCTGCAACCATTTTTTTAGGGTTTTTAAGCTGCCATTATGGATAAAATGTGACATTAAAAAATTCAATGTCAAGGTTTTAACAAAGTAAGCTTACAGTTGTATATAATAAAAAAAAACTAGAAGGTTTTCTAAATTTTTGTTTTTAAAATACAGAGCTTCAACGTATGAACAAAATATGTTTTTGCTAACAAAGTTTTAATTTTTGGAAAAATCAGAAGTTTTAAATGGCGGTATCTCATGAACCACAAAAGATTTTAAGCTAAAATTTTCAGGAATTGCTTTTCTCATTGATATAAACCAACCCACCAAGTTTTATCAAAATCTGAGGGGGTCCATGTTGGAATCCCAAAATTTCAGTCCATTTGGCATAGAATGACCCTTTAAAATAACACTTTTTTTTAGAAAAAGTTTTTAAATTTCTTTCAATAATTAGAACAAAAATATATATTTTTTAATTTTCTTGTTTTCCTTTTTGTTATTACTTTTAGTTTTTTATTTTTTTTTTATCACTTTTATAGAAATTCGCCTAATTGGCACCAGGAGGGTGATGGAGCAGATGTAAATGATAGTGAGAGTTCACTATTTCAATCAACTCAAGATAAGTTTGATCCTGAGGATGACTACTCAAGGTTAAGAAATTATTTTTATAGTCTTGTTTTTATGTTTGACTGTTAAAAACTCGCACAGCCAATAAGATGCAACTTATGCCGCATCTTAATAAGATGCAGCCAATAAGGTCTTTTTGTTTTATTGACATATATACAGGCTTGAAAGATGGATAAATGTAAGTTATTTCATAGTATACTTTTGTTTTTTTGAAAGAAATGGTTTTTACTTCTTGCCCCAACAGATGCCATTTTTTAAAAACTTGAAAAAATTCTTACTGGTTACAAATTACCTGGTGGCTACAGATGTGCTACAGACATGTATATAACATATTTTATAACAAATCATGTCTATGTGAATTGTGTAAAAAATCATGTTCTTATTTCTATTTGATCACCTTGCATTATTATAATAGTAGAGTAGAAGTGAAAAACTCACCAATGGCAACAATCTAAATATTTAATGTCATAAAGAAGTGTCAATATTATCTTTTAAGTACGTTTGTATTCAAGTTTCAAATGCTTGTTTTATTCATAAATAGCAATTTTTTCTTGAATTGTTCTGAACATTTTTGCAGAAAATATTTTTTTTGATTGTAAGAAATAGTTAAATAATTTTAAAGTAAACATTATTCTGTGTAATAATTTATAAATTTGTTCTGGTTGAGTGAAAAAAAGTCTGATCAATGCTATCAAACAGGGACAAACCAGGGTCGAGTGCTATTGCTGACCTCGCAAATAATTTTTTTTGTTTCTTGATTGTTTTTATGTTAATGATTTAAAAATTCCAGAAAATTAAAACGCTAAGCTTAACTTAACTTAGACTAGGAAAAATGTTAATAAAGCAAAAACAAAACAAAAAGAATATAAGCACTGAAACAAAAAGAATATAAGCACTGAAACAAAAAGAATATAAGCACTGAAATAAAAAGAATATAAGCACTGAAACAAAAAGAATATAAGCACTGAAACAAAAAGAATATAAGCACTGAAATAAAAAGAATATAAGCACTGAAACAAAAAGAATATAAGCACTGAAACAAAAAGAATATAAGCACTGAAACAAAAAGAATATAAGCACTGAAACAAAAAGAATATAAGCACTGAAACAAAAAGAATATAAGCACTGAAACAAAAAGAATATAAGCACTGAAACAAAAAGAATATAAGCACTGAAACAAAAAGAAGCACTGAAACAAAAAGAATATAAGCACTGAAACAAAAAGAATATAAGCACTGAAACAAAAAGAATATAAGCACTGAAACAAAAAGAATATAAGCACTGAAACAAAAAGAATATAAGCACTGAATAAAACTCATAGCTATTAAAACTCATCTTTTTAAACGTTCAATAAAACGTTGATAAAAGTTACGCAAAACGCATTTAAATTAAATAACAAATTAATACTAATTGTTTTGTTTATTAAATTAACAAATTTTATGAAGTTTATTAAAAAGTGTTTCATATATTATAATTAAATTGTATAAACATTAATTTTTTCAAAATAGTTGAAGAAAAAAAATACATGCCTACAAAAAAATAATTATATAAAACATTTTTTATTAATTTACACAAAATGTGTTTTTTAAACGATCATCATAATTAATTTTATGTTTTTATTTAAAGCCTTCGCGTAAAATAAAAACTTTAGAAAAGATCAACGATTAAAAGTTCTTCACAATGTAACTTCACTTTTTTAAATTGCATTTAAATTGTTAAAACATTAAAATAGCCATGTTAAGTTGTAAAGAAAAAAACTATTAGCATGGTCAGTTACAGAGTGTGATCGCACGCTATTCCTGCCCAAGCCTGTCCTAAGTAAACCATGAGAACAGCTGTAGGAAAAAATTCTTACTGGTTATAAATTACCTATGTATGTATGTATGTATGTATGTATGTATGTATGTATGTATGTATGTATGTATGTATGTATGTATGTATGTATGTATGTATGTATGTATGTATGTATGTATGTATGTATGTATGTATGTATGTGTGTATGTATGTATGTATGTATGTATGTATGTATGCGTGTATGTATGTATGTATGTATTTACATACATACATAAAAAAGGACATATCAAACAATAAAATGATAGCAACCTTGATTAAGCAGATTACAAAGTCTTCTGCTTTTTATAATCTTCAACTTTCTGAATGAAAATCAATATAATTAATATATTTGCTTATTGTTCTTATTAAAATTGAGGATCAGGAAAACCATGCATTTAGCATATGATATAGAGTTTAAGAAATACATATGCATCATATGTAACTCTTAAACATTTTTAGATGGCTTTAATTATTGAATGAAGCAGTGGTAATAAATATATATATTTAATATATATATAAATAATATTTTATTTAAAGGCGTAATGGAAAAAATTGAGCTAAATCAATTAATTGCTAAAAAGTGCAGGTTTTGGCCTGATATATTGAGACCTCAAAAATGTTATGCAAGACCCTTCAGAATATATATGCTAGATTTAAAAAAGATATTCTTTAAATCTTTGCGTGTTAGCATTTAGTTCAAGAAACTGGTCAATTTTGCTCTTGACAACTGCAAAGTTTTTAATAAAAACTTAACAAGTGTCTAGTTTTTCAGCAGCCAAAAACTTAGGACGATGAAAGAGATAAAGTTTATCATTTTCTTTATGATTCTCTTATCATATTTAAAAGCTCCTTAGTTTAATTGTCAAAAAAGCAAGACTATAAAGAAATGTCATAAACCCCACATGAAGAACTGTATTAGGTTTGTAAATTTGGATAGGTTTAATTTCTAGATCCAAGAACACGAGGACCAACTCGGCGAGTTTATGATAATTAGCTTTTTTCTTTTGACTTTATAAATTAAGATTATATTTATCTATCTAACATTAAAATCTGATTTTAGTTAGAGGGAAACTTTGAAAAACTATTTATTTAAAAGTTTTAATGTTTTAAATTAAACATCAGTTAATTAAGTAAAAAAATAAAAACACTGATAAAAAAGAAATGGTTTAAAAAATGTTATTAGAATTTTTTTATTTCTATTTTAAAATGGCTATAATTGGTATAAAATAGTGTTTGTATGTTTTAAACACCTTATTCTTTAGTTTTTATATAAATATTGGCGCTAGAGTTACGAGCGTTTAATGGGCATTAATATTTGATTTATATAAATTGATATTGAATATTAAAAAATAATATACTGCTCAATGGTAGTACGCTTGCCTCATAAGCGAGAAGTTCTGAGTTCGATCCCCACCACATCCCTAGTTGTACCACGCTAAACTTGTTTCTCTGTGCAGCATCCTTGTTCGTCAAGACACATTTTTCACTGTATAGACCATTAATTATTTTTTTGTAAATAAACACTTTTTTAAAACATATATCCAAATATTGTTCATAAATTTTATTATAAATTGTGAAAAGTATGCAAAACTTTGAAAAAAAAATTGAAGCTTAAAGTGTAACTTTATTTAACTTTCAATTTTTGAATGCATCCTAAGGCTTCTTCCTAGCAAGCTAATAATATATCTGGTACTGATACTGGTTTATCTCTGATGCTCACTTTTTCTTCTTCTCTTTGTTTGTATAATGGCTGACCAACTAGTTGGCTTGCATACTATGTATAAATACAAGTTCATAATTTTCAGTAGTCTTTCATTTTATATGGGATTTGGAACAGTCATTTTGTGGTATAGTCAAAAAATCTAGTTAATTAATATGCAAATTATTGATAGTTTGTATACCACAAATATTTATACATAATTCTTTTCCTTTCCTTATTTCATTATATGCTATATGCCATTTTTTTCTTTAAAAATCCTTTTCTAAAAAAAGATAAATAGTTAAGTTATCAGCTATACTAAGCCTGTAGTCCATTTCCATGTTGTTGGGGGAACTGTTGCAGTGTCCTGCAGTAGTGTTGTTTTTGTTAAGCGCTTTTTTGTAAGTAGAAGTACTGGAGTCAATCATTGCTGTTTCCCTGGTAGTATAGCTCTCATCTTTTTTCTCCAGCTTTGTTTGTCAAATTATAAAATTCTGGTAAAGTATAAACTATCAAATTGAGAAAGAGTTGTAATAACCATACATAATTTTTTTTTTTCTGAAATAAAATTTTCACATAAGTTTTAGAATAGTTCTAAAATAAAAATTAAAGTATTTGATTTAAATTTCTTTATTCTCTATAAATATAAACAAAATAGTTTCAAAGTAAAATAATATTTTTTTATTAATAAAAATAATGTAAATATTAAGTATTAAAGGGTGCCTTTATGAAAATGCAGAGAAAATCCAACACTGTTGAGCGCTGACACAATATTAGAATTCTTGTTTAAGAAACTTTAATTAACAGCGGAACTAGCAAAATATTGATGGATAATTTGAAGATTTGAATTGATGAACATAGATGTCATAAAGAACATGAACCATGAACATAGATTTTATGAAGAACGTGAACCATGAACATAGATGTTATGAAGAATGTGAACCATGAACATATGTCATGAAGAACGTGAACCATGAACATAAATGTTATGAAGAATGTGAACCATGAACATAGATGTCATAAAGAACATGAAGAATGTGAACCATGAAGAATGCGAAAACATGAAGAATGTGAACCATGAACATAGATGTCATGAAGAACGTGAACCGTGTCATGAAGAACGTGAACCATGAACATAGATGTCATGAAGAACGTGAACCATGAACATAGATGTTATGAAGAATGTGAACCATGAACATAGATGTCATGAAGAACGTGAGCCATGAACATAGATGTCATGAAGAACATGAACCATGAACATAGATGTCATAAAGAACGTGAACCATAAACATAGATGTCTTGAAGAATGTGAACCATGAACATAGATGTTATGAAGAACGTGAACCATGAACATAGATGTCATGAAGAACGTGAACCATGAACATAGATGTCATGAAGAACATGAACCATGAACATAAATGTCATGAATTTATTATGCAATCTTAGGAACTCTGTTCACCATCCAGAGATGCACTTTTTGCTCACTTATGATCATAAACAAAATATCAATTAATTTAACTAAAATCAATATTAGCTGAAAACAATAGGATAAAGCGAGGCTAATCCGAACAAAAACATTGTTTTAAACTTTTTTTTTTTTTCTCTTTGGCTTTTGCAATAACTTTTTTTTTTACATTATTTGTGTCAAGCATTTAAGTTGGTGGTGAAATGTACACCACGTCTGAAAAAACATTGTTTATTTCTTTCACTGGTAGAAAATCCGGACTCTTCCAGATTATAACATTGGTCAGGATTATTATTTAAATCATACTTATCATAAACTCTTTTAACGGTTTCAAAAAATTTTTTTACATTTTTTACAGAAAGAGATTTAGCTTTTGAAATTGTTAAAACTTCTTGAGTTCTTTTAGATATTCAAGAAACCCATTTTTTTTTTAAAGCCTAGTAAGAAGTTGTCACCTGGCCCGTTACAATCCCAGGGAAATACTCTACCTACACAACTGTTTGAAAATTGGGTAAAAATTGCTTTTATGTCTTTTTGATTTAGTGGCCAACCAAAATAGGATGCATATTCTAATGAAGATACAATGTATTCCTCTTCACTAAAAGATAAGGCTGTTGGATGCTCTTTACTATGTTTTGACTTTCCAGATACGTGGTCATAGAGGGTAGTAACAGGAATGTTATACATTGATGCAGCCGCACGTATTGAAGCACCTGCTTGAATTTCTGCTATGGCTCGCTCAATATCTTCTGAAGTATATGAGGCAGATGGTTTTTTTTTCTTATATGACAAACCATTATGAAAACTAAAAAAAATTTAGAAAAAAAATCATATACATTTTTGTATGCTGTAGATGTGTGGCAGTTATTTTGAGAAGTACCATTGAACCATTGTCATGTTATAATCTAATCACTTCTTTGTTAATTATTGAAGATGACAAGTCTATTATATATAGGCCCACCAGTAAAAGAACCTTGAAGGCTTTTGGTATCACAATTGGTTTATTTTATTGGTACAAAAATTTGTGAATTGGTGAACATCTAGCTCTGATTTCATTAATCAGGCACTCTAGTATAAGCGCACAAAAAAGAAATATATATATATATATATATATATATATATATATACATATATATATATATATATATATATATATATATATATATATATATATATATATATATATATATATATATATATATATATATATATATTTATATATACTTTATATATATTATATATTTTCAATAGTTCGATCCCCACCACGTCCCTGGTAGTACTCAACTTGTTTCTCCGCACAGCGGCCTTGTTCGTCAAGGTTCGTGTTTCGGGGTTATAGAGTTGAGAGAGGGTTACAACCACTATTAAGTAGCCTCCTCGTCTGTAGTGGCCTTCTCGGCCTTCTCGGAGGTGAATAACAAAAATATATATATATATTTTTGTTATTTACCTCCATGTCCTTACCACCATGTCCTTACCACCTTCATATCCATACCACCATGGTATATATACCATGCAAGGTTATATATATATATATATATATATATATATATATATATATATATATATATATATATATATATATATATATATATATATATATATATATATATATATATATATATATATATATATATATATATATATATATGGAAACTTTTATTTCCTATCAACGATAGTCAAGTCTCACTTTTTCCCATGGTTTTCCTCTCATTGTGCTGCAATTTCCAATTGTAACCTTTACTTTTATATCTATCAAGAAAACAGTTCTCCAGAAAGCAGGTGTTTGTTTACTACTGCTAGAAACCATTGTAAAATGTTTCAATAATTATTAATTAATCATTGTAAAATTCTTGTTCTACAGCTGATTTGCTAATTGGTTTTGTCTAATGCAAGTGGCTGGTGAATTTTAACTTAAATTTTTTTCTGCTAATCATTATTGCAAAAATCTAGAACTTCCTATACTTATGAATGGTAATGTACTTGATGAGTCTTTATCTTCTAGAATTAACTTCAGATCTTTCTTGTAACCATATATCAAATCCATTTCAAAATTAGCATATGCCAAGGTTGCATTTCTTTATCATGCTTGCCAGTTTCTTACTCATTCTATTCTTTACCTCTATAAATCTTAAATCTGACTTGTATGGAAAACTGTTGCCATATCTTGGATGGATCTTCAAATGATACCTTTTCTCTTTAAGACGTGGTGCAAAAATGCACTATGTCTAAAAAAGACCTGCTCTTGCGGCCAACATCCAACCATTATCATATTGTTATAATTTTGCTTGTCTTTCTCTTTTCTATAAATACTATATTGGGCACCACTCTAAAGAGCTAGCGTCTGTTTTGCCATCTCTTCATTCAATTAAGTCTCACCCTTTTACTGTGACTGTTCCTAAGTGCTTTAAAATTTATTATTCGTCTAGTTTTTTTCCTTGAGTTTTCAGTCCTTTGGAATTGGCTTCATCTTGTTTTCCTGATTCATATAATTTGCAATCTTTGAAGTCGTCTGTTAATTGATATCTTCTCTAAATTTCATCTTTTCTCTTCTAGTTACTTCCAACTCTTATAGTGGTTGCTTGCAGCCTTGTTGGAAAGTGAAGATGTTGAAAACTAAATAAATAAAAAAATAAAATAAAAGCAATAGAATGAATCATTCTAATAATGCATCTTATGAATAAGCTCATATTGAATATAAAAAGTGGAGTTAAAATCAAACTAAAATAGTGAAAAAAATAATACAACCCATCGGCTATAGACTACATCACTATTGATTTTAATGACGCAATCCAGTGATTCTATTTATGATTTAATACAAGCACCTTAAAGATTGTAATAAATTAAAGATTGTAATAAATTAAAGGTTATAATAAATTAAAGATTGTAATAAATTAAAGATTGTAATAAATTAAAGATTATAATAAATTAAATTACAAATTAAATTAAAGCACGGTTGTTGCATTAAAAAAAAGAAATTCAAATGCAATTTTTTTAATTTGATTGTATTAACTGATTGGTTTTTTAAATAAAATGTTAGTTTAAAAACAAAATTTAATAAGCAATTTATTAAATGAATAAACAGATAGCTCACACAAAAACTGTAAGCTTTTGTAAAAAACAGTTCAGAGGAGCAACTGACTTGTAATGTTCATTTCAGAGGAGTTCTCCGCTCTAGCACATTTACTCTCGACAAGGCGATATATCGAATATAAAAGCATATATATATATATATATATATATATATATATATATATATATATATATATATATAAAACTAATAACTATGTTATTAAACTATATTGATTAGTAACTATAAATACTATGGCTAGTTGTAAAATATATTGGTTTACACTAATATGTTGTTAAAATTTGGTCATGGTTTACGCTACTATGTTGTTAAAATTCAATAAGATATAACTGCTTAGTAAACTATAAAATTCTATAACTAATTTTAAGTCTGTAAATAATCCTAAATTTTTTTTCTTTTATCAAATAAAAACTTTTTCATAATAAAAACTTTTTCATAATATTTTTAGTATTGTATCTCCAAAACGGTCAGTTATGATAGCTGGACAAGAAGACTATTATGCAAATTCATTTGAAGATATGCAAACAATGCAGCAGTATTATGCAAGCATGCAACGACGATTAGGAATTCTCGAAAATGAATTGGAATATCAAAATCGTCTTTCTAATGTTTGGAAATACTTACTTCTAACATTGACAATAATTAATCCAATTATTATAAATTATTTATTTTTTAATCGCAGGCGTTAAAGTTATTTTTAAATTTTAGAAGAAAATTTGTTCTTTTTTTTTTTTTTATCAGGGTTATTTAACTATAACAATGATTTATTGAAATATTGATAAAAAAACATAATACACAACATTATTGGTATGATAAAAAATAATACACAATGTTATGACAATGATAAAAAACAAAAAGATTATCAGACTTTTTTTCTTTAAAAAATACGAAGGAAAAAAACAAGAATGTTTTAACTGGATTATGGTTTTTTATTTATTCTTACTGTTATTTTTGTTTCTATTACTTTTTCTCTTTCTGCTTATGTTACTAAATTGTTTATGCTTTTTTTTTTTAAGAATGAGAACTATTTAATTTCTATTTTGTATTATTGCAGAAACAGCTTGCTAATACTTGTTAGAGCTATTTATAAGCATATATAACTTCTATACTTCATGCTTATTAGGGTGGTCAAAAAAACAACATTTTTGAAAAAAATCGGCTCCACAACCCTAAATGTGTTCTGTATAATACAAAAACTTTAGTTTAACAATTTTTTTGAATCAAAAATATTTTTAGGGGTAACCCCTGACCCTTAAACATTTGACAGGTCTCTAATATCTTGAAAAAAAAAGTTCTTCTAAAATATGTCAACCTGGTACTCAAAGGAAGCGAAATTATATTAAAAATTCATAAGTAATAATAATTTTTATATAAAAATAAATTTTTCATACATCATTGCATAAAAACTGCTGTTTTTAAGATAAAAATAAAAAAAGTAATAATTTCCAAGTTTTTTGCAAGTAGTTTTTTTAAACATCTATTTTATGTAAATTAATTATAATTTTTAAATTTTTAATATAACTTCGCTTCTTTTGAATACCAGGTTGACATATTTTAAAATAACTTTTTTTTTATTCAAAAGAGTTGTAAACCTAGTGTTTTTGTATTATATAGAACACATTTAGGGTTGTGGAGCCCATTTTTTTTTCAAAAATGTTGTTCTTTGGACCTTAATGCTTATGCTGATTTAATAGCGCTGTTTATTTACAAGTAAAATGTTTCAGAAACCACTTTTTTATGATGGCTTAATAGTACTGTTTAAATGCAGGTAAAATGTTTTAGAAACGGCTTGTTTATGCTAACTTAAAAGCGCTACAAGTAAAATGTTTCAGGAAACTGGTTGCTCGATGTTGTGCTATATAATGTTTGTGTATGTTTTTCCATTTTGCTGTTTATAAAATGTTGTAGCATCAATAACAAAATACTGGCAATATTTTTATAGTGAAATATAAAAATATTTTTTTATAATTAATAACTATCATAAACTTTTTATAAACTGAAGAGTAGGAAAAAAAAATGGTAAAAAACAAATGCTTTGCAGTGGAGAATAGTAGAAAAAAAAAACGATCTTCTGTACCAGTCATAAAACGAAATCCGTTTGAAATTCATGTCAGCAAGCTAAAACATGATGTTATTGGGAAAAAAGTAAAGACAGATAAAGGATTACCTGGATTATCACGATCAAAAGCAAATGAAAAAGTGATTTTATTATTTTGTTTAGATAATAATATGTCATGAGCCATAATTATTAAATTTTATATCAGTTATCTTTTTCTAATAGCTCTTTTTTTGATTTCTGTTTTTTTAGAGAAAAAAAACATTACTTAAAGAATATAAGCAAAGAAATAAGGTACCCTTAGTTTTCTTTTTACTTTCTGTTATTTGCATGTGATAATTTTTTACTCTCTGTTATTTGCATGTGATAATTTTTTTACTCTCTGTTATTTGCATGTGATAATTTTTTTACTCTCTGTTATTTTTATGTGATAATTTGTTACGCTTTGTTATTTGTATGCGATAATTTTTTACTCACTGTTATTTGTATGTGATAATTTTTTATTCTCTGTTATTTGTATGTGACAATTTTTTACTCTCTGTTATTTTTCTATCTGATAATAGATTTTTTTTTTAAAATAAAAGAAAAATAAAAGATTTTTTTAAACCTCATAACTTTTAAAATTTATTAAATAGGCAAATGTTATAATTGATCGTCGTTTTGGTGAATTTGATGATACTATTTCAGCTGAAGAAAAAATGTTGAAAAGATTTACCCTGGAAAAACAAGTATGTTTCTTTTTGTTGTTACTATCTTAATATAAATCAAATATTAGTATACACTTGTGAGTCATGATTACCTTGCATTGTTTGCATTTGCATTATTACACTATGTAACACAATTTTTGTTTCTGGCTTCCAAGTACTTCCAAATTTAAAATTTATAGTTAGACTACTAAGAGACTATAGTAAGACTACTAAGAGTCTATAGTAAGACTACTAAGAGACTATAGTAAGACTACTTAAAGACTATAGTAAAACTACTAAGAGACTATAGTAAGACTACTTAGAGACTATAGTAAGACTACTAAGAGACTATAGTAAGACTCCATTGCAAAATTAGCATCTGCTAAGGTTGCATCTCTTTATCGAGCTCGACACTTTCTTACTCCAGATTCTATTCTCTATCTCTATAAATCTCAAATCCGTCCCTGTATGGAATACTGTTGCCACATCTGGGGCGGATCTTCTAATGATGCTCTTTCTCTTTTAGACAAGGTGCAAAAACGAATTGTAAACATAGTTGGACCTGCTCTGGCAGCCAATCTCCAACCTTTGTCACATCGTTGTAATGTTGCTTCTCTTTCTCTTTTCTACAAATACTATAATGGGCACTGCTCTAAAGAGCTAGCGTCCCTTGTGCCATCTACTAAAATTCATTCTCGTGTTACTCGCCATTCAATTAAGTCTCATCCTTTTTCTGTGACTGTTCCTAAGTGCTTCAAAAACTCTTATTCTTCTAGTTTTTTTCCTCGAACATCAGTTCTTTGGAATTCGCTTCCTTCATCTTGCTTTCCTGATTCATATAATTTGCAATCTTTTAAGTCATCAGTCAATCGTTATCTTGCTCTACAGATTTAGTCTTTTCTCTTCCAGTAACTTCCAACTCTTATAGTGGTTGCTTGCAGCCTTGTTGGAAGTGAAGATGTTAAAAAAAAAAAAAAAAAAAAAAAAAAAAGACTACTAAGAGACTATAGTAAGACTACTAAGAGACTATAGTAAGACACTAAGAGACTATAGTAAGACTACTGAGAGACTATAGTCTTTATAGTCACAAGAATAACCTGGAAACAAGCAATTAGTTTGTGTTATTGTTCTAAAAATTACCATGAAGGTGCACAGCAAATCAAATCAAATAAAAAAATCTCAGTGAAAGCACTAATCTCTTTTGAGTTAGTTTTTACATTAATTTCAAATTACTCTAATTAATTTTTGTGAATCAAGTAGTATATGCTTTATTATTATTGATCATTAAAAAAGTATATTTAATTATAATTTCTCAAAAGTCTTTTAGGCATTACTTTCAATGTTATAAAAATAAAGTCACACTTAGATTAACTTATTGCAGAATATATGACAAATTTAATGTAAAAAATGCTACATTACTTCTAATAATAAGGAAAATAGACTCAGCCACAGATATCAAAAGTTTTAAAAATTATAGAGGGCTGTTCTATGTTGTCAAGGCATGACATTTGACTTTTTTTTTGGGAAAAACATCATATTTTAGCGCATTTAAAATTAAAAATTTAAAAATTAAAGATACTAAAAAACTTTCATATACATTACAGTTTCTAAAAACAAAGTTATTTAGTTTTTATAGACTATTTAATATTTTATAGACTTTTAGGTATACACATTAATAGGTTGCGTCACGACGTGACAAAAATTATCTAGCATTTTCCGTCATTAGAAAAAATGACACTAGTTCAGCTCTTGTGGATATTTTGAAATATTTTTGTTATGTCTTGGATACTTAAATTTAAATGGAGACACCACTTAAATATATCAACGGAGTTTATGTCACACCTTGACATCACGGTGTGACCAGTACAAAATCTTTGAATATTAAGACAATAACATCATCAAAAAGACAGTTGAAACAAAAGAAACCAATTTATACAGATTTTTTTATAAAATTGGTATAACAATATTGCTTAACAAAACAGTTTATTTACAATAATTTCAAAAAAAGTTTTGTAAAATTCAATTATGTTTCTTTATTAAATTTTATCTAGTTAACTAAGTATGATGCACTTAAATAAGGTTTGATTTCCATTTTATCATTAAACTGTTTTAAGCAATATGCAATAAATATTCCAGGCATTTTACAAGCATTATTAATGATGTTTCCAAGTTCTGTGCCATCAAAAGCAGTTTTTTACTTTTTCAGCAGCAACCATGAAAAGGCTTGCTTAACTTTCATTTCTGACGACTTTATTAATTTTTTTTTAATTTTTTTTTTTAATTATCTTCGCTTCCAACAAGGCTGCAAGCAACCACTAATTAGTGTTGGAAGTTACTGGAAGCGAAAAGATGAAGAATAATAATAAAAAGATAAATTGCTGTTTCGTCATTAATCAGTGCTTCTCTTCCAACATATTTTTGTGTTGCTAATCTTTTTATGGTTGCTCCTATACCATCGCATGGTCCTTTACCATGAAAGGTTGCAAAATAATTCCAACAAATTTTGACTTTGTGCTTGCTTTCAAGCCATGGAATTGAAGCTACTATGTAACAATTTTTAAATTAACTGCTGGGACCATCAGACCAAACTTGCAAGTATTTTACATCCTTTCTAATAAGGTTAGTTATTAACAAGTCAATAAAATAAATAACTGAACTTCTTGAATGGTTCGAATTGTCAGAAATAATAACGGCAGATTTACAAGAGTCACTATGCCAGCTAACAGCAGTAAACAATGTTACTAATTTTTTGTTCCAATGTTCCACTGACTAAACTTCATCCTGCCAGAAAGTTGAGAAGTTTTCTGCAAAGTCAACTTGTAACAAACTGAATCAAGATTGTTTTTTAAAAATTATGGGTTTGTCTTTTTTTATTGCTTTGTCCATTAAGTTGCATAACTTTCTCTCAAAAGTACCAGGTAATTTCTCTATTGTGGTTTTTTTCATCTAATTGGTATGTTGTGAGAAATAACTTTCCGTCCTTACAAGCTTCACAAAGATTATTCCAACAATTATCATTTTTCTCGTCACACACTAAAGTATTTGGTAAAGCATGCAAATAAAGGGGATTTTTTAAATCAATGAAATGTAATATTTGAGTGACAAAATAAAGTTTTCATGCTTTTGACATGAACAAACATTTATAGGCATTAAACTTGATAAAAGTGTATGGCATGGTCTCAAACTAGCAAACTTGGATTTGCTGATTGAAAAATCAGTGTGTTCATTTATAAATATTGGAAACATTCTAGAAATTCTTTAAAAATTTTACTATTAATTTTTACAAGAATAACTAACTATAGTTAGTTATTTTATTTTCTAAAATTTTCACATCGAAAAAAACATGTTTTTTTGTAGCTATCAGAGCCGTGGCTACATGGGCCATGGCAATGGTGGACCTAGGGACCTCTATGGCCCCAAATCAAATTATATAATATCTCAGATGATTCAAGAGTGTGTTCTTTACATTTTGATGCAAATTGTTTCGACAAACTAATGAACAATTAATTAAACAATTAACTAAGTTAATTAAAATCTAACGAACAATTAATTAAACCAAGCACTAGGAAAAGATATAAAAAATAAGAATATACTAATAAAATATATAATTTGTAATTAACTTTCAAAATTTTGACAATTTAAAAAATATATATTATAAAACATTTATTTTTGTAAACAAATGATAATAGTTTAAAAGATTTATGGCTTTGCAGATGTGGCTCCAAGAATGAGCCATAATATTAAAGTAATAGTTCATTTGATAATATATTATTAAAAAAGTTTATGCTAGATATCTCAAAACGTAAATAATACAATTTCTAAAACATTTTAACAGAATACTCTAGAACTTTATTTTGCTTAGTCAGCGTATTTTATGAACCAATAGAATTAGTTTGTTCGTAAATTTGGCGGGTTTTTGGTGTTTGCGAATATTCTTTTTGTTCTTCCGCAAGATGTTTTAAGAACATTCAAGTTAATTATGTTTCCATGTATGTCCGTAAAATAAAAATTAATATATATTAATTTTTTAATTTTTAAGCCCTTGCCATAATATATATTGGATGTTATAATAATGGAAATATAAATAATGAAATAAGATCACCTTAATACCAAAAAATAAATTTTTGAAAATCAGAGAAAAAATGCTTTAATATTTTTTTTTTAATATTTACAAACTAAATTAATAAAACATTATTATTTAGGTTAAAAATTATTTTATCTAATACTTTGAAAAGAAAACTTATAACAAAAGAAATCAAAATAAATGTGGTCTAGACGATTATTTAAAAAAATTTGCGCAAATAAAATATTATTTTGTTTTTAATTTTTTTACAAACACATTTTAAAATTTTAAAATATAATAAAAATGAATATGATTTGGAAATTGCATGTAAAAAATAATAATCGGTGATTTAAACAAACAAACATAAAAATCTATGACGTCATGTACTAAAACTTCTATGAATTAAACACACTTGAATAAATTATCAAATCTGTATAATGCGCCTGGAAAATTGCGTTTATTTTACATACTCAAAATACTGCAGAAAATGGAGAAGATGAGCTTCGACTAAAACAACAAGATTTGTTTTTCTTGGTATACATTTATTAATTAGTTTTAATCAAAAAAAATTTGCTCAGACGTTTTTTTTTTAACATTCTCTTTAATATGAACAAAACATGTCTCGGGACTTGGTAGTCCCTTTTAGCATCAAATCGTAAAATTCTTCGAAAACCAGTTCTACATGTTACATGTTTTTAGAAACTACAAACCTTTGGCTTTTGAATGATACATTTAGTTTTTTATTTTCTAGGATTTGAAATTTATATTAAACTTTTTGTACGACGTGGAATAGCCCTAGACCAGTTTCTAATTTAGTATTTTTTAGCAATAGAAAGAATAGTTTTATATTGTCTTAATTCCCACATTAAAACTAACAATCTTCATAAATATGGATACGAAAACATCATTTAACAAAAAAACACTTTTACTTAAATACAACAATGATATATTTAAACTTTTTGTTAAGCAAATAAAGTGCTGCATCTATTGACCAGCAAAATTTGCTTAGGCTAATTAATTAGTGAAATTAATTAGGCTAATTAGTGAAAAAGGTATAATTGATTCAGCTTACAGGTAGTTTGAATCATTTTTAGTTAAACTTACCTAAAAAGTTAAAATTTGATTTTTTAGGAAATGTAAAATATGAAGTACAAGTTTAATAGAATAAATGACCAGCAATTAAATAATTTGCATTGGCTGATTTTGCAAGGTTCTTTTAATATTGCACAAATATCCATGAGGCACCCGCGTCTTTATGTAATTTAACTAATCAACTTTAGAAAGAACACTAAATTTAAAGGAAACAAAATGCACGGTTACTAAAACAATTGTTTTGGTAATCGAGCATTATCTCACTATGATTTAAAACTTTGAAATATATTTCTATATATCATTTCTAATAAAAAAAACTTCTTTATAAGAAAGAAACTAAAATCTTACTTAATGGTTAATGGCAAACACCAGAAAACCCTCGGAAGTTTTAACTTTTAGTTATGTAAAAATTTGTTGCACAGCTGAGCAAGTGTTTTTCCTACTTATTTATTATTCTGGAAAAACTCTATAGCTGTGGGTAAACCTATGTATTTATTGAGTTTTTTTAGATTTGATCTATTGCCCATCATAGTTGTAGTCCTCTGTCATATTTTTTGTTATACTTTTCTTGATCATAATGCTCATAATCCAAATCTTTGTAAAAGCTTACTTCAATTATTGATCTCCTTGAGTTAAAACGACAATCAAGAATATGTAACAATGAGAGGCAATATGTACCTTGTTTTTGAAATTTTTTTTTTGAGTTGCAACCAACTGCAGTTTGCATGAGTGGCCAATTTGTTGCTGCCAAAATATACCGCTGCCAAGTTGGAAAGCATATTTCATGGTGCTCTTTTCTTTTATGTATGCACCTGGGACTACAGAAATAATTAGTTAAATAAATTTTAAAGAAGGAAATTTCAAACCTAGTTGAATACTGAGCATTAGTACAAAATATTTTTTACTATAATACATATAAAAGTATTGTCAACTCATCATAACTTGCAACAGCAACTCCTTGAACTGTACAACATCAAAATCATTGAAACTCTGCTATATAAAAGAATTTTCTTGTAATATTTTTTATGCAATGTCTATGGCAGGCATGGTGAGGTTTTCCTTGTAGGCCTCTTATATCTTACATTATGCTTTCACTGAATACTTTTTTGCTCTTATCTATATTAAATCTTGATATGCAAAATGTATCTGCTGGGTGCAAATCTAAAGCAAATAATAATTGCTTTTTCATCTTGTTTATTATACTTTCACTCAGAAACAACATGAAGTCAAAGTATTGTTTAAAGGTAAGTAATATAAACATGTGTTGTAAACAATTAAACAGTAATATAAGTAATATAAAAAGTTTATTTTGTTTGCTTTGAATAAATTTATTTTAAGTACATATATTTTACAGCGCCACCATGAAAAGTCAAGTCTTTACAATCTGGATGATGATGATGAAGAAGACTTAACCCATTATGGTCAGAGACTTGCTGACATTCAGACATTTGATGATGCAGGATTAAAACTGTTTGATGAAAATGAAGAGGAAAATGGTTTGTTATAAATTATTTTTTTTTTTTTTGTTGTTGTATTATATAAAATTTTAAGTTAGAGATATTATTATAATATTTATGACATATAACAAGTAATAAGTTTTTTAGTACATGAACATTTTGGTGGGTTTCTTACAAGTAAATCACCCCATGAACAAAGTCATAAGGTATTGCATTATTTTTCATTGCTTTAATAAATTGTTTATTAAAATGAAATTGGGGAGATTTTGTTTGATAGTTTTCTGTCAACCATATTCTTTATCTTTAATTTTTGATAGTTTTCTTTTGTTTGATATTTTTGCTTTCTCTTAACTCTTAACTAGTAGTTCTAGCAACAAAGTAGCAGCAGTTGTAGCAGAAACGTTATAGCAACAAAGTTGCAGCAGTTGTATTATTTTAATAAAAATTAATTATTTAATTTTTATTAAAATAACAAATTCTTATTGTTTTAATCAAAAGTAAAATAATTTTTTCCTTGCATTAGAATGATATAAATACTTTAATTTTATTTATTGTAGTTTGATTTAATAGAGTTTTGCATACTAATGATTAAAAAAAATGTTAGTTTTAAAATATATTTGTTTTTGCATAGAATCGAATTTAAAAATTTGAAATATATTTATTCTTACTTAAAATAGAATTTAAAAATATATTTGTACTTGCTTAGAATCAAGTTTGAAAAATTTAAATTTATTTATCCTTGTCTAGATTTGAATTTAAAAATGAAATATATTTGAAATATATTTTCTTGGAATTAAATTTATAAAATTGAAAAATATTAGAATCAAATCTGTTAAAACTTTAGTGTTGAAAATTTGATATTAAAACTTTAGTGTTGAAATTTTGATATTAAAACTTTGGTGTTGAAATTTTGATATTAAAACTTTGGTGTTGATGTTAAACATCTAAAACATCTTGATGATAAAGTAGTATCGCAGTTTGAATTTTTTAAATTTATTTTAGAATGATGGAAAAAAATTGACTCGTCAACAAATTATGGATGAGATTGTCGCTAATTCCAAAAAAAAAAAGGTAGTTTTACAAAAAAAGATCATTTAAACAATGTTTATTTTGAATTTGGATATATATTTTTTTCTATTTTTTCTTTTAGTTTGAGCGTCAAAAAACACAAGAACAAACATTTGAACTAACACAAAAACTTGATTCGCAGTATAAAGATATTCAATCTTTACTAATCCAACGGGTGCGCAATTTTATATATAAAATAACAATAATAGTATTTGATTTTAATCTAGTTATAAAATTTCACAACTTGTTTTATACTACAATTAGCATACTTTAAAAAAGTGTTTTTAACGAATTTTCTAAACAAATAATAAATTGTTTCATGACATAAAAACAAATATAATTTTTTATATTGTTTCATGATCTAAAAACAAATATGACTTCATGTAAAGTTTTATGATTCAAAAACATATACAATTTTATGTATTGTTTCACGATTCAAATTACATATCCAATTTCATCTAATGTTTCATGATTCAAAAAACACACAATTTCATGTAATGTTTTGCGATTTTATGTATTGTTTTATGATTCAAAGAAAAAAAACAAATACAATTTTATATACAGCCCTCAGAATTAGAAAAATTTAGGTCAGAAAAAAATTGTTGACTTTAAACTATTTTTGGTTGGCATCTGGTCAAAATAAAGTTTTTAACACAGTGATTTCACCATGATAACATTGAATCTCAATTACTTTTAGGTTGGATGTTAGGGTTGCTGTATGCCTATCCTTGTTCCAAAGGCTCCATATATTTATTTATGAAAAAACAAATATGATAATATACATTGTTTCATGATTTATGAAAAAAAAAAAAAAAATGCACATGGGCCAAAAAAATGTCACGAGAAACTTTTTGTGGATTCTTTAGATCCTTTTTAGATTTTGATCTATTCAATTTTGTTATTTTATTATTTTACATTATAATTTTGTTTAATTATGTAAAAGTTATAAATTGTTATTAAAAATAAATTATAATTTTATAAAAATAAATTATAGATTTATAAAAACTTCAGCTAGCTGCGATATTTTTATAAATCTAAAATTATAAATTGTTATCTATTAAAAATTACTTCAGCTAGCTGCGATATTTTTATAAATCTAAAATTATAAATTGTTATCTATTAAAAATTACTTCAGCTACCTGCAATATTTTTTTTAAATCTAAAACGAGCAATAGAACTTCTCCATAATTTAAATCTTGTAGTGATCCACTTGTAGTGATGCACTTGTAGTGATTTGTAAAGTGAATTAGAATTATAAGAACTAGTACATTGTTTTAATAAATATTTTTATATTAATTGTTAAAAAAAAACTGGATTCAAAGCAACAAATAAAACAAAAATACATAGAAAAGAAAATTATTTTGAATGTTTTGAACTAAATTCCACAACTTCATCAAATGCTCTCCATATTACACATCAATGATTATATTAATTTCATATCGTGGCCAATATTTTAAAAATTCTGTATGACTCTCTTGCTTGTTCAAGCCCTAGTTCATAATCTAATTTCCATTCTCAAAGGCATTGTTCAAATGCGTTCAAGAATTATGTGTATTTTAAGAGTCTATGAGACGAGATTTAAAGAGCCTATGTAAATAAAGTAAATGTCAAAACATTGAAAGTAAATATGTCAAAACATTAAAAGTAAATATGTCAAAACATTAAAAGTAAATATGTCAAAACATTAAAAGTAAATATGTCAAAACATTGAAAAAAAATCTTCAATAACAAGTTTTTTTTCCTTAAAAATGCTCACAAAAATAAATTTTTTTTTTAAATTATTTTTTATCATTAATTACATAATACTTATAAAAGAAGTTTGATTTGTTTCAAATATTCACTACAGATTGAATTTTAGGGAATGATAAGTCATTGCCCAAGTACTTTGAACTTTATTTTATAAAGTCACCTAGAACTTGAAGCATGTGATTAAGTAGAGAATTTTGTAAGATAATTAAGTGGTCTTACCATTATCCTAGATATTCCTGATGGAGGTCTTAACATTATCCTAGATATTCCAAATGGAGGTCTTGACATTATCCTGAATATTCCAGATGGAGGTCTTAACATTATCCTGGATATTCCAGATGGAGGTCTTAACATTATTCTGGATATTCCAGATGGAGGTCTTAACATTATTCTGGATATTCCAGATGGAGGTCTTAACATTATCCTGGATATTTTGCTAGTTAAATGTTGTTTTACTAGTCAAATGTTGTTTTACTAGCCAAATGTTGTTTTACTAGTCAAATGTTAATAAATGATGTTTTTTATGAGGTTATCCGTTTACATTAAAGAGTAATTTAAATAATTTTGTTTATGCAGCATTTGTTTAGAAAACATAAAGTTAGAAAATATAATTAATTATTGTAAAAAACATTTAAACTGCAGTTGTTTTATTACTTGATTAAAATAAGTGATTTGATTAAATTAATTGATTAAAAACAACAACAGATGTTTAAATAATTTTTTACATAATAACTCCCAAACAGAGTTAAAGAAGAAAATGTGCTTCATTTTTTTTATAAATTTTATTTGATTTAAAGTTATTTTTTACATTTATTTTACATTAAGTGATAATTGTTTATATGTATAGTTTTAAATCGATGGGTTTTTTTCTTCTCATTACAAAAGTGCTTATGATTGTTTCTGAAAGGATCAATTGTGATTCTAAAAGGATCAATTGTGTGCCTGTAGGCAATAATACTTAAAAAGAGATTAAATGTTTTTATATTAAATTTATGAATAAATTTGTCCAAAGTTGTTATATATGTAAATATGTTATGTGTATAAAATATAATATATGGTATTTTGTTTCAAAAGCTCCATGACAAAAAACACATGGTTGAACAGTAAGTTCGATATAACTAAATAACAGCAATAATAGGAAATTTTATATTTTTAACTGTCGTTAGTTTGATATTTTAGCTGTTTCATAAATTTCTCATTTAATGTTTTGAAAGTTTCACATCTTATCTTGCTTTACGTATTCACAATATTTTATTTATATCTTCCATTTGTCTTGTTTTACATATTCACAATATTTTATCTCACGTATCATACATATGGAGGTCTTGTTTTACATATTCACAATATTTTATATCTCACATATTTTTCATTTGTCTTGACAACATGAGCAATATGTAAAATATTGCTCATGTTGTCATAAATTGTTAAATAAAATTAAAATAGTTTTACTTGGGAATATTACATATTTTAGCTCATTTTACTTATTGAAAAAATAGTTTGTTTTTTATCATATTTTAGCCTAAAGGTAGTTCAAAAAGAGATGACATTAAGCCAGATGATTATGACAAGACTGTAAAAGAACTTGTTTTTGAAGCAAAAGCGCAGGTCTTTTGAGACTTTTAAAAATTTTAAAATTATTGTGTTTGTTACTACTATTGTATTTGTTACTATTTTGTATTTGTTTACTATTTTCGTATTTGTTTACTATTTTGTATTTGTTAATAATATTGTGTTTGTTACTATTATTGATTTAGGCAACTAATAGGTTAAAATCAACTGAAGAGATTGCACAACTTGAGAAGTTTCGCTTGGAAGAACTAGAGGTAATAAGTTTTAAGTACATTTTTAAAATGTGCTCGGTAATTACAGTAGAAATATTTTCTTTCTAGAAACAACGTCAAATGAGAATGAATGATAATTTTATTGATGATAATGTGACATTTCTTTCTGCTGATGCTATTATAGAAAAGTATGTTTTTTAATGTATATATGTTTTTTACAAGTAGACTCAATAGTTTAAGTGATGTTATTTTGACTTTTAGTTAAACACAAATGCATTATTCTTTTTCTCATCTCTGTCCCAACCTAAACTTACAGTCGATGTAGCAGCAACTTTCTTGCTTGTTCTCCCTATCATATTAGATGTACATACTGAAGCTTCTAGCATCTACCTATTTATATCAGAGTGTGACCTGACTATATTTTTAAATTTGTATATATTAGGTACCAGCAATTTTTAAGTTGCTTCAAGCATATAAACGTTTGCTTCAAGTTTATAAGAAATTAAGAGTAAACTTAAAAATAAAAAAAACCTAAAATTAACTAGTAACTATCTTATTGGAAAAATATGTTTAAAAAATCGACAAAAAAATGGCTTTAAAGACGCCATTTTTTGTAGAAGTACAAAGAAATGTGTCATTAAAAAGTAAATGTAAACAAAACTAAAACTTTACAGTGGTTTATTTATTTATTTTTTGTATTAAGTTTAAGTTTTCAAGCTAAAAATTTTTTTTTTTCTGACTCAAAAATATCTGATTTTTTTTTTTTTTTGTTAATTGTCTTAACTCAAATAATTTACAACATTTAAAACCATGTTTTTTACAAATGTTTTATTTACATATTGTTCATCTAATTATATGGTTTTTATGTAAAACTACCCATATTTACAGGACCCAATATGCTTAAGAAATTATTATTATTATTTTAGAAGCAGTTTTAAAAACTAGCATAAGTGCGAATTGGTATAAATGCTCCAAATAAAATCACAAATATTGAAGTTTGCCAGTTTGCACTTATGTCAATGTTTGCAAATTTATTCAGCGCACTTATGCCAGTTCACATTTATCCTGAATAGCACTTATGCTAATTCTTTTCTTTCTTCTTCAACATATTTCAAATTCAATTCATTTCCTGTTCACTGCAAATTCGAATTCCCGCTTTCAGTGAGTCACTAACAAACTCTTAAAATCATAAAAATAATTTTGAAGAGCTTTTAATTCTAAAGCTGCATCATAGATGTTTGTTTTAGTATTATTAATATTTAGCACTTACCTTTAGTTATTAAAGGTAAGTGCCTAAGCTTTTTTAAACACTGTAGAGATATTAGTTTTTCTTCTCCTTAAAATGTATGTTTGTATATTACATTTAGAAAAAATTTAACTTAATTTACATTAAAAAGAAAATAATATTAAATAATTTTGCTCTAGCTATATTTATCATCAATAACTTTTTTTGAAAATATTACCTAAGCAGTTTAATAAGAATCAACTTATGATGCTCTGTCATTGTTGTCATTGTCATTTGTTGGTCTGTCATTGCCAACAAGAAATACATTGTAACACCTTTTTTTTTTTAAACTCCTTTTTTTAAATAAAAAATAGAGGACTTTATTTAGTTTATAATGCAAAATAAATAGTTCTATTGTTTTCAGCATGGCTTAAAATGCCAAGAAAATTCCAAAAAAAAAAAGTTTTGATACTTTTGACCATGTTACCACTTTAAGGTGATAAACCTGGTACTTTAAGGTGATAAACCTGGTACTTTAAGGTGATAAACCTGGTACTTTAAGGTGATAAACCTGGTACTTTAAGGTGATAAACCTGGTACTTTAAGGTGATAAACTTCAATTGAAAAAAAAATAATCAAATATCAATATCAAAAATACTATCTTAAGTTTTCGATTCAAAAAATTTTCTTCAAAATTGTTAATACAAAATTAAAAAAACCATGACACAAGTTTAAACAGGTATGCTAATATTTTTAAAATTAAAAACCTTGATTTCCCAACTTTTGCCTCATTTATTGGATAAAAACTACACAAAAGTGAGCATAGTTTAAAACAAGATATTTCCATTTCTATTAATCAATTAGTTCTGAAATTTTCCCATTATGTTATAAAAGATATAAAGAGGCTATAAACCAGAATCATGCATTGAAGATGCATAGAATATTGCATCAACCCCCATATAGTCCAATTACATCAGAAATGAAAGTTCCCTTTAAATCTGCACATCAAAAATACAAACTCATGCTTGAGGATTATAAGTCAAAGAATAAAAAATAATGCTAGATCAGAAAGACATTATTTTATCTGAAATTAAAGAGCTAAAATCTCATATGGGTCTTCTTACTAAAATTTTATTAAAGCTAGAAAAAGAGTTTGTCTTAAATGTGAAACAAATAAAAAAAGAAAACAATATATTTTTGGTCAGCAAAGTAAATGCGAAATGAGAAGTGAGAAGTTCTGAGTTTGATCTACACCAAGTCCCTGATAGTATTGCGCTTAACTTGTTTCTCCCTGCAGCTGCCTCGTTCATCAAGGTTTGTGTTTTGGAATTATAGAGTTAAGAGAGGGTTGTATTCTCAACTAAAATAAGCCTCCTCGACTGTAGTGGCCTTCATGGCTTTGTGAAAATGAATTAAAATTTATTATATATAGGTTGCAGGTAACATTATTGATATTGGAGGAAAAGAGAAAGAAACTGAATTAACAATTGTTGCTATTTGAGAATTTGTTTGATATAAAATATTATTTATGTTGATATTTATGCACATATGGCTAGTTAAAAAACTTTTGTTATTTTTTGGTCAATAAAAGATTTTGCTTAAAAGTTCTGTTTAATTAAAAATGTGTCTAAAGGATCACATATGAAACTTTTTTTAATTGTTTTCTTTAGAAGGATTATGTCTAAAGTAATTTGAAAACTTGTCAAGGTTTATTATATCCATTTTTGTATAGCAATTTTAAACAAAACCAGAAAATTGCACAATGACCTTTTTAAACAGACAATGCATTTTACCCAAGTTTAACCAGAAAATTGCTTTGCACAATGACATTTTTAAACAGACAACGCGTTTTAGTTATAATATTTGTTTTTGTTTACTCGATTTTCATTGATTCCTAGTCAGTTTCTGTTTCTAGGCTTGTTTAAATCTCTGCGTTTTCAGTTGATGATGTTTTTAATTAAGAGAACTCTAAATTAAAAGAACTAGATCATGCGCAATTTAATAGGTCTGGCTATTTATGGCTATTTAAATTAATTTAAATTAATTTATGCTCACAATTTTTTAATTTATGCTCACAATTTTTAATGTTGTTAAGCTATTTTTTGTAATACTGTTATCTGAAGATATTGTTGAGCAAGGATACAGCTACAAAATAACTCAAAGTTTTTGAGTTGTTCCATATTTGTGTTTTTATACAACTTTATAATTACAATAAATATTTCAGTTAATTTTTGTATCAGTGAAAGATGATTTATAAAATATTTTATGTGCATAATTTTTAGATTTTCTTGAAGATCATCTGAAACTTATGTTTTTCTGAAAATCTATGTTTTTCTTAGTGTTCATGACTATAGAGTCATCTTTATTAATAAGATCCATGCTAGCATGTATAATAAGATCCATACTAATATCCAACTTAACTAATAGCTAAGCATATACAGTTTTAGCATTTCTGTTTCAGCAACTTTAGCATTTTATTAAAACTATTGTAAATGTTGAAAATGGTCAGGGAAATTTGTCTAATTTTTCAAAAAAGTCAGAGAAAAGTCAGTTCATTAAATGTTTAAGGGTCTTTTGGGACCCCTAAAGTATTTTCTATTGAAACATTTTTCAAAACCAGTGTTTTTTTTTTTATTATATAGAACACATAAGGGGGTGGCAGCATATATTTTTTGAAAAAAAATATGTATATATTCATATACATACATACTGACCTTAAATTGCATTTCACATAAACTCACAATCCACAGCTTATATGGTGTCTAAAGTAAGGTACCACTAAATTATTAATACTTAGATTTTCTTGTAAAATTTTAAGCTTACTCAACATAAGTTTGCAGTTATATAAGGTGATATTTCAACCATTTTATTAAAGTCTCGTGTTTAAAATTTTAATTTACATAAAATGTATGATCATTTTTATCATGCCTGTTTGTTTCGGTTACTATCAAATGTAACATTAAGACACCTGCCAAGCGGACATTGCAATCAGTTCTGATCCATCATGTTTTAATTTTTGTTAATTTTTTTCTTCTTGATTATTAAAAGATTGTTAAACTGTATTGATATTCATTCAGGGTTTGCAGGTAATATTTGCAGGTCTTTTATTACTGGTAGCTGTTCCTAATCACATTTGGATTTAGCTTTACCTCTAATTGACCTAGTAATGAGGGGCTGAAGGCTACTGCATTGTCCAAAAAATTAAATAACATTTTTTTTTTTAAATAATTGTTATTTTTAAAATTTTTATATAATTTCGCTTCTTTTGAGACCTAACATGACATACTTTTGAGAAAAATTTTTTTTATATTATTAGGGACCCGGTAAGTGTTCAAGGGTCTTGTGCTCCCCCTAAATCCAATAAAATTTAGAAAAAATTTAACAGAGTTGCTTGTGTATATATATATATATATATATGTATGTATATATATATATATATATATATGTATATATATATATATATATATATATATATATATATATATATATATATATATATATATATATATATATATATATATATATATATATATATATATACACACACACACACAAACACACGCGTATATATATGCGTACATATATGTATATATTTATATGTAATATAATTGTATGTGTAAATAAATTATAGAAGTTAATGGACTGTGAAATAATGTTAAATTTAGAATAGTTATATTTACAAAAAAGTATTTGACATCAAATTTCATAATAAAGCTCAATGGTGACATTTGTCAACATCAAAATTTAAATTTAATGAGTTCACAACAGAAGTTTTAAATTTATTATAATAACAGAAGTTATAATAAATTTATAACTTCTGTTGGTTAATTATCATAATCAACAGAAGTTATAAATTAGGAAAATGAAATAATGAATGAGAAGATACTAATGAAGATTATTTAAATGATAAACACATTAAAATGTGAAATAAATATAACAATATTATAAAAAAATATATTTTTATATTTTTTTATAATATTTTTATATTTATTTAAATAGATATAATAATATTATAAAAAAGTATTATAAGATAAATATTTTTATATTACTTGCGAAATTAAAAATTTTGTCAAATTATAGCTTCAGTGCTTTCTTTTTCAGTATTTTTAGAAATGTGTTTTTATTTCCATTTCTTATCTATTTTTTAAAAAGAAATTCTTTTTAAATGTTTGTATTTTTCTAAACAATTTTAATTTGAGAAATTAATTTTGAAACCTCTTAAAGAAATGTTGTTCAATAGTTTTAAAATACCTTGAAATTATTAAAAAACAACAACAAAAAAAACAAACAAACAAACACTTAAAGTATATATATATATAACCTATATTTTATACTTTAAGTGAATGTTTTTAAAAATCTTTCTAGATATTTTAATCCATAGTTTTTTATTTTTTCCTTTATCTTAAGTTTAAGGTTTGATATTTTGCATTTGTAATTGCATGTGTGTTTTTGTAACTATATTTGTAACTGCATGTGTGTTTTTGTAACTATATTTGTAATTGCATTTGTGTTTCTTGTCAATTAAATTAATTGTATTTCTTTTTCAATTTCAGTTACAAAAAAATTGATAATCGATATGAGGTTCGTTACAATGATGGTAAAATGATTTTGCCAGAAGGAATAGGTAGAATTTTCTATTTAAACAATAAAGAAAAATATTAATGCAATGATAATTATGTAAATTTAAAAACCAGACTGTACTCTACTCTTCTGTGATTGAAAAGGCGAATTTAAATGGTAAAAAAAAAGTAAATTTTTGTTTATTCTACTTTTTATGTTTAATTTTTATTAATGTTTTAAAGCAATTTTTAAGTTTTCAAACCAACTTTTGAACATATTTTTTTTTTCAATTTTATGAAGAGGGAGAGGGGGAGATAGTCGCCATCAAAATTTTTTCTTCTAGAATTATAATGTTCTGTTAAAATATTTTCTATTTTCTTTAAAGTTTAAAGTTTAACATATGTTGTGAAAAAAGAGTTTTAAAAATAAAGAGCATTACACTTTTAAAACAAAGTTTGACAAAAACCACCATTTTTGATGTGAAAAAGAACTATTGATAAAAACAACAATTTTTGATGTGAAAAAATCCACCATCAATTTTTTTATCTGCATTCTTTTTTTACCTGCATTTTGTTTACTAATTTGAATAGTAAATTTTCATCCTAATATGATAAACCTAATAAAATGACCAATACTTTTATCTGATGAAATAGTCTAACCATAGTATAGTGTATATATGTATGTATGTATGTATGTATGTATGTATGTATGTATGTATGTATGTATGTATGTATGTATGTATGTATGTATGTATGTATGTATGTATGTATGTATGTATGTATGTATTTATGTATGTATGTATATATATATATATGTATATGTATATGTATATGTATATGTATATGTATATGTATATGTATATATATATATATATATATATATATATATATATATATATATATATATATATATATATATATATATATATATATATATATATGTATATATGTTAGCAAGTGAGAATCAGTAAGTCAACGTTTCCTCAATTCGAGAATTTTAAGGTTTTATTAGATTTACTGTAAAGAAAATTAAAGATAAAAACAGTTCCCATTTTCTTTACACCTATAATAAAAAACTTATACAAATAATAGTAAAAAAGATTAATAAATAAAAAAAAATTTATTTGGATATAAAATTTATTAATCACTCACCAACCAGTCTCAAATTTAACATAATGATGCTTTGTAATCCTAAATATTGGATTAACTAATTTTTTTTTGACTTACACCATGCTGATTCTCACCAGCTCATATATGAAAAGACCCCAATCGAAAATCCAAAAGGCAATAGATAATTTATGAAAACTTTGAAGCTAGCACACTGGTAGCTTCAAAGAAATCTTATAGATTTTACAAAAGTTATTTTGTTACTTTAGCAAATAATTAGGAGGAAAAAAAAAAAAAAAAAAAATTGAACTTTTTTAATAAAATTTATCACATAAGTTAAATTTTTTAAATCCATATAGCATTCCTGGTAATGAACATAATACACTTTAAATAATATGAGTAGTTACCTAGTATCTTGATTTATTAGACAAAAATCATCTGAAAATCAAATCCAGTTAAACATGTGCTTTTTACTTCTTTCGTTTTTTTCTATATTTGTCCTTCTGTTATAGAATACATGCTGCCTTGTGTAAAGTTTGTGCTCAGTTTCAAAAATATATATTTTTTTGTTTTTTTTTAAATTTGCTAATGTCTTCCTCTGTATGCAATTTAAAGATTTTAGCTGAGTGTTTGCATTTGAGCAGGCAGCATCTATGTATGAAGGACATTATTATTATTTACTCATATTTTTTATTTAAAAAAAATTTCCAGCATTTAAAGTTACATTAGCAATAGTATGCTATGTAGAATAAAGAATGCACTGTATCTATGTATGTAATGTAGAATGAACTGTATAGACCTACGCTAGTAGTAGTAGGTAGTAAGTAGTTGTATTTATCATCATTAGTCATCAGAGATATTTCATTCAGATAGTTATATTTCATTACAGCTTGTTAACTAGTCTCTATTTAGTCTATATGAACCAAATACTTGCAACCATATACTTAAAAAACCCAATTTTATTTAATAAAAGGCTTTCCAATTGGTGCACTGTTTATTTGAGGGCCTTTTTTGTAACCCAATTTTTTACTTTAATGGTCCCCATAATGGCTTCTACAGCATTACCATCAAAATTTTCATAAAATATTTAAGTTTTTGATTTTTTTGATTTAGTTTGAAGTTTTTTTCTTCCTTCAACCATTAACTTATCACTCACATTTCTAGACAGTTTGGAGGATTAGCACTTTTAGAAAGTTTGGAAGATTAGCAGTTTTTTTCGGAAGATTAGCAGTTTTATAACTTTTATATCAATTTGTTCATACCATTCAATAGCCAGTTTGTTACAATGAGTTACAGACAAATTAGACAAGAACATAGTTCTATTATGACATTAGTTATTAATAAAAGAATGAAAATAAAATCGTAAAAGATATTATTTAAGCACTATTCAACATACGTTTGACTATTAGGTGTGGACATTTAATTTAAGTTTATGTTTTCACATAATTTTAAATAAAAATTTTTATACATACATTTATTGGCTTTCTTTTTTTTTTAATTAACCATCATCTTAAAAAAAAACATAGTTATAGAATATATATATATATATATATATATATATATATATATATATATATATATATATATATATATATATATATATATATATATATATATATATATATATATATATATATATATATATATATATATATATATATATATATATATATAAAATCAAGGGCTATTCTAGGAAAAAATATTTGGAGGTGGTTCCGCCCAACGTCTTTTATATGTAATCTTTTATATGTGTACATGTGTGTACATTGTTGATTGTTTTACTATTATGATTATCTAATGTAGTTTTCACCTTTGTAGTAATTTAATCTTGTAATCTGTGGCTTTGTTTTAGTTTTGTAATGTTTTAATCTTGTAATCTGTGGCTTTGTTTAAGTTTTGTAATGTTTTAATCTTGTAATCTGTGGCTTTGTTTTAGTTTTGTAATGTTTTAATCTAAGCATTATTTGTATTTTTGTCTTTTTAGATTCACTAAATTCAATAGGAGGTAAATATAATTACATAAGTTTTTAGGATTAAAGAGGTAGACATGTGTTAAAATGTAATAATGTGTAATTAATGTATAATGTTTTAAAAGATGTTTTCACACTTATAATAACACTTAATTGTGATATTTAAAAAAATATTTATAGGGTTACCACACAGCCTTGGAAAAGTGAAATTGAAAAAAATCGCAAAAATAGTCATTTTATATATAATTCTTTTTCTTATTTTAAGACTACATTTAAAAAAATTTTTTCAAGTTTTTTTAATGTTTTTAGAGACCTGTCAAATGTTTTTAGAGACCTGTTAAATGTTTTTAGAGACCTGTCAAATGTTTTAAAGCCATGTGGTGCCCTAAAAATATTTTTTGAATTTCCATTATTTTATTCAATTATAGAAAAAATAAGTAATATAAAGAAAAATGTTGTTTTAAGCACTTTTTAGTGTTTGTGTGTGTGTACATGAATGCATGTTTTTGAGAGATTCTCATGTTTTGAATAAATGTTTTCTTCTTTTACTCATGGTTTGAGTTTTTATTTTATTTTTCAGTTTTATATGTGTTTTTTTTCAAAAGGTATAATAGATGAAAATGAAAATGAAAGTGATGATGATCAAAATGAAAGTGATAACGAAAATAGTGTCTCCACTAGTGGTGATACAAATGATGATGAAATTGAAACTGGTGACGATTCTGATATATATTCAGGTAACAAACAATATTTTATATTTTTCTTGGACTTGATTAAATTTTTTTTAAACTGGCTTTTATTTATATTAATACAAATATATTGAACAAATTTGAAAGATGTTAAAAGGATGTCCAAGTGCCATGATAAGTTGTGCTCAACAAAGAAAATAAGTTCAAAGTTTATTAAATGTACCAAGCAAGTTTTTGTGAGAAATAAAAAAATTATATTGTTTTTATGGAAGTTAAACAAATTGTATTGTTTTTTTTTTAAAGGGATTCCCAAGTGCCAAGACAAGTTGTGTTCATATAATAGATAAACATTAAAAAATAAGTTAAAAGTTAATTAAACTTTCCAAAACAATTTGTTGAATAAGATATAAACAAAAAAATTTTGAATTTTTAAAGCCAAATGCGGTTATATTTGGTGTCAAAAAGTTTCTTTCAATAAACTTTAGGTTTAAATTGCAGGGGTTTTCCCTTTGGTGGTTAAATGAAAATATAAGATTCAAGTTTTTCATATCAATTTTATATATATCTCAAAAATATATATTAGATCATTTTAAAAACGATTTCTTGAGTTAGAAATATAAATTATTATAAACTTAAGTAAAAAATATATAAAAGATCATTTTTAAAATGGTTTTCTCAATTTATTAAAAAAATAAAGATTTTTAAATCTTTCAAAATTTAACCATGTTGGATTATATTGTACTTAGTGTTGTATATTAAAAAATTGATTACTTATTTATTAAGAAAAATATTCATCTTGTGTATTTTAAAATTTGCTTCGCCTAAATTACAATTTTTATTAAGCTAATTTATTAAACTCAAACACTTAATGATACGTTGAACAAAAAACAAAAGCATACTACAGCAAACGTTTTTTATAACCGTCGCAGACTAAATATGAAATCCAATCTGATTGTCTAAAACTGAACTGAGTTTATAAAATTCTGTGGTGAGCAAAAACATTTAGTATTAAAACCAGATGTTTTTTTAATAGAAAAAACTATGCAAATTTGAGAGCCTAAACTGGAAGTATAACAGCAAAACAACAAATGCTTTTGTTAATATCTCATTTAATAATTTGTTTTGAAAAATTTAATTAACTTTTAACTTATTTTCTAATGTTTATCTATGATATGAACACTTAAATATATATGTATGTATGTATGTATGTATGTATGTATGTATGTATGTATGTATGTATGTATGTATGTATGTATGTATGTATGTATGTATGTATGTATATATATATATATATATAAATATATATATATATATATATATATATATATATATATATATATATATATATATATATATATATATATATATATATATATATATATATATATATATATATATATATATATATATATATAGATATATATATATATATATGTATATATATATATATATGTATATATATGTATATATATATATATATGTATGTATATATATATATATATATATATATATATATATATATATATATATATATATATATATATATATATATTTATTATATAAATATAGTTGTACCAGTGAAAAACAAATATTTGTACATAGTAAACGTAGATTTAAAAAAATTAATTTTATTATTATTAATTTTTTATACATATATAAATATTAGATCAAGAATCAGATATGCTGGATAAAGGAAATGAAGTAAAATGCACAGTTAAAAATGTATATATATATTTTTATATTTTTTTCCATTAATGCTGCATTTTTTTATTATTATTATCTGATGACTTTATGTTTTTACAGACTAAAGAAGAAAAATCTATTGAATTGGATGGTAACTGTGTTTTTATATTTTTGTTGCTGTGTGTATTATATATTAAGTATATTGATTTTTGAGTGAAACATACTAAGACTAAACTTCAATCAAAAATAATTATTTTTATAAATTGTTTTTGAAAAGTTTTTTCAGTTTCTAATTTCATTTGCAAATGTAACTCGTATGAATATAGGATATTAGGAATGTTAAAATTATAGGAAGTTAAAATTAAAATTAGGAAATTTTAAAAAGTTAAGATATAAAAAGTATTGTTTTGTGGAAAATAATGATTGAACTTTTTTATTTTCAATTTAGCAAAGGATTTTGTTATTTGATTTTTTTAGTTTGATCTGGTTTTATTGTGACTCTTAATTCAATATTAAAAAAGAAAGTTTTACTGAAGCTTTTTTTTAGTTTTTTATAGTATTTTGTTATAGTTACTAAAACTCTATTTATTTAAATATTTATTTATTATTAATGATTATTATTTACATAATTATCATATTGTTTTAATTAATTTTCTAAAATTATTTTTAATTTTCAACAAAATCAAAATCTCTCCAACACTGTAAACCTCAGCTTTACTTTACTTTAACTTTCAGGTCAAACTCTCTCCAACACTGTAAGCCTCAACAGTTTAATGAAAATGTTAAAAGATTGGTAAATTTTAGTGTTTTTTAAAAGAGCATTAATTGTATATAGTGAGAATTCATAATATTTTTGAAACCAATTTTTGTTTTCAGTAAATCAAATCAAGATGTTTTAACTGTTCTTAATAATCTTTACAAGCAACTAAAGATAAATGGAAGCAAAAAAACTAACAAGATTAATGTAAAACTTCAATTTTGTATTTGTCAGTCATATTCTGTTTTTTACTGTTTGTCAAATTCTGTTTATTTTTTAAAATCACTGAAATTAAAAATTTTTTCACATTTTGTATTAATTTGTAAGGTAAATTCTGTTGTTTTTTAACGTCACTATAATTAGAAATATTTAAATATTTTCACATTAAAATGTCAAAAGTTAGTAAAAATTAAAAAATAAATATTTATAATGAAAGAAGAGTTAAAAGAAAGAACAGAAATTGAGATAAATATTTAAAAAATTAAAAAAGTACAAAAAGTAAAGTAATAAAATTGTTTAAAGGAAAGGTAAAACACTTAATTTTATTTATAGCTTTGAATTAATTTGTTACCAATGAATTTATTGTTGCATTTATTATTTATTATTGCTTTTTTATTATTTTTGTTATTGTTTTTCTTTCAATATACTTTTTGTTGTTATATTTTTGTTTATTTAAATTTTTTAGCATTTTTTTGATGTTCTTCTGAATTACTTTGATTATGTCTGTGATATGGAAAAACCAAAACTCAGCTTAGTTAATGATCTGTCTGGGTAAAATTAATTTTAATTGTTAAATGCCATTTTAGATACACACACACACACACACACACACACACACACACACACACACACACACACACACACACACACACACACACACACACACACACACAGATATATATATATATATATATATATATATATATATATATATATATATATATATATATATACATATATATATATATACATATATATATATATATATACAGATATATATATATATACAGATATATATATATATATATATATATATATATATATATATATATATATATATATATATATATATATATAAACTAATTTATTGTTTTTCAGTTTTATGCAACAGTTGATGCAAGATATACCAAAATACGGAACATCTGTAATGCAAGAAAAGTTAAAAAATATTTTCAAAAAAATATCATTACAAATAAATTCAAAAGGTTTGATTTCATATATATAATTTTTTTTTTATTATTTCACATTATAAATATTGGATATAAATCTCGAAAAAATATGTTTAAATTAAGTTAAAAGTTTAAATCCAAACAAAAGTTCAACAATAAAAGATTTTTTTCTCGGAAGTAAAGTAAAAACTATAAAAGAGTGTTTTAACAACAATCTTATAAAATGTTTAATAAAATGTTAAAACAATGACAAGTAATCTTATAATTTAATTACTAACAATTTAAATAGTTTAACTAATATTACTTGCCACAATAATGTTTGTATTGAATTAAAAGTTTTTGTTTTTTTAAGTTTGGTTTTATCAATAAAGAATTAAGGTTGAAACTTTATAATTTTTCAAGAAATTCTAAGGTTGCAACCTTATACTTTTTCAAAAAGAAATTGTAAGGTTTCAACCTTACTCTGAAAGAAATTAATATTTATATACATATATAATTACTCTAATACATATATGATTACTGTAAAATTATAAAGTTGCGACCTTATAATTTGGCATAATCATGAGTGTCATTATAAATAGACTTTGGACTAAAGCTTAAAAATTTACCAACTTTTTATGAAACCAAGAGTGCTTACAAAATCAATAATGGTTGTGGAAACAATAATGCTTGAAACAAGGCTGCAACAGCTATTATTAAGTTTGGAGTTACTAGAAGAAAAAAAAAGAATATAATTATTGAGCAAATAAACAGTTGACAAAAGACTTAAAAGTTGTAGGTTGTATGAGTCAGGAAAATATGAAGATGGGAAATAGTTACAAAGGTGTGGGGAAAAAACTAGACAAATAAAAGTTTTTAGAGCACGCAGAAACAGATGATAGAGCATGATGGGACAAATACTGTAAATGAGTAAGACTTTGCTGAATGACGAGAATAAACTTTTGTCGATGAAACTAATTGAAACCAGTTCTAGAAAATAATTTTGTAAAAATATGATAGGAATGTTGTCTGGACCACAAGCTGTAGAAGAGTTTAATTGAGATATGACTTTAGCAACAGAAGCTGGAGTGATTTGAATGTCTAACAAAGGGTCAACTTGGAACAGTTTAATTGGAATGGAAGGAAGAGAATGGCCATAAAATTCGAGAGTTAAATTAAAAGAAAAATTTTCTGCAAATAGTTCTGTCTTATCCTTGGGAGAGGTAATAAGGTCAGTCCCATGAATGAGAGATGGAGTGTTAGACCTACCCTTGTTTATGATGTTGTTGAAGATTTTCCAAAAGTCAATATTCTAACTTCTGAGAAAAAATACAAGATTTTGTTAAAAGCTTAGCATCAGACAGCACTTTTTTACATTGATTTCTTGCAACAATAAATAGCCATTTGTTCTCAAGGATAGATAGCCTTCTCAATTTGTTTTCAAAATTTGTTCTTCTGAAAAGATGAAAAAAATCATTAAGATTAAATAAGCAAGAAGGTGAAAACTATGGAGCAGAATGATGCTTGACTTGGAACCGAAGAGAAAGAATCGAAGAGAAACTTCCATTCCTGCCTGAATCTAGGAGGTTACATAGGAGACGCATTTATCAGCTGAGAGAGAAAAAAAATGATCAAAATGTTTGAACCTGATTTCACAACAAGTAGGCGAATTGATGTGTATAACCCAACCCAACTATGTGACTTTTGGAGTCTTTGCAAATCAAAAAGATAGTACCCATCAATACTGAGATTTGAAGAAGGAATAGTTATTTAGTCTCACTAAGAGCAAGCAAGTCTAGTGAGGTTTGCCAGAGTTAAGATTCACAAACCACGAATATTTGTAAAAGATATATTCAGTTAGGTGGTGGGGATGGTTTTTTATTTTTAACATTTTCGGTTACTTTTGGTAAGATTTACTTTTGGTTTTGGTTGACGATTACTTTTAGTAAGATAAAGAGAACTTAACTCATTTATAGATAGAGAATTATTATGCTTACTTTTCAAGTTTTTGCCTAGGTGTCCTTCTACAAGACAGTAGCTAGATGCAGTAATATCTGCCCAAGATGAGTATTTTTATTGAGACACTATGCCCAGCATTTACTTAATCAAGAACACCAAGAGAGTGGATTTTTAATTTGAAGTTTGTTTCTCCTAGTCTTTACCTAAAATAGCACACCCTACAAGGCAACAGGGCATGAGGCAGGTAGTACATGATACCAGTTACCAGATTCAAATTAGTATGTAAAGAAGTTTTTGGAAGAAAAATATTTGTTTAATGAATAAACAAATTTACAAAATCTGCAAACATATTATATTAATCATAATCAACAAATTATGGTTTAAAACTTTATAATGATTATTTTTATTGAAATTTGTACTAAGATTGTTTCTGACATACCAGTAAAAACTGCCATTTTTAGTACAAACATGTTAATTACTAATGATTATCAATATTGATATAATGATAGTATCTATCAAACTAATCAGTAAAGATAAAATCGTGACCTGAGTGCTTATTTATTTCAACTCCATTTTAAAATGTTAAAAGAACTTTTCAGTGTTAATATCTAAAAATAAAAATAAAACTTTTAATTTTTTTATTTTTTAAACTTTTTTTCTTATAAATAATTAGTAAATTTAATAGCAAATAATATTTTCAATAGTTATTATTAAAATTTAAAATTTATTGCATAAATAGTTGTTACCTTTATAAGGTTCCTTAATATTTTCTCCCAACATTTTAAAATGGAGATGGAATAAATAAGCACTCAGGTCGCGAAATGGTGTTATGTATTAACTTATTGATAAGCAGTGATCATAATGGTTCTATGTAATGGATGTATAAATATAAGTATGAACAAATGAATGTTGGTATGGATGAAGAAATGGTGCAAATAAACATTTTTACAGTTTTCTTTTTTATGACTTTTTTATGTTTATAATTTGTATAATTTGAAAATTTTTGTTTTTATTATTTAAAAGAAAAGTTATTTGAATAAATTTTAATTGTATTATTAACAAATTTTCATATTTTTTTTAAGGCAACAGCAATATGTTCCCTACTTTAAAAGAGGTAATTTTTTATTTATTTATGTTTGTATTTTTTTCATATTTGGGCAGGTTCTTCTAAACATTTTTAAACGTTTTTTGATTTCAGTTCCAATAAAATCATAAAAAGTAAATTTTCTTTTGTTGGCAAATAAAATAAAATAATGAAACTTCATAAATCTTTAAAATTATAAAAACCTTAAGGAATCTTTAAAATAATAAAAAACTTCAGGAATCTTTAAAATAATAAAAAACTTCAGAAATCTTTAAAAAAAAATTTTTTTTTATTTTATTTTAATTCACCTCCTCAAGGCCGAGAAGGCCACTACAGACGAGGAGGCTAATAAAAAATAATAAAAAAATTCAGAAATCTTTAAAATAATAAAAAAATTCAGAAATCTTTAAAATAATAAAAAACTTCAGAAATCTTTACAATAATAAAAAACCAGGAAAATAAGTGTGTTAAGAGTGTTATTTTTAATTATTTTAATTTTTGAGTTCTTAATCACATCTTTACTATATTTTGATTTTTTTCAACTAAAACGTTTTTTGTACAAAATATGGCTTTATGCAACATTACATAAGTACTTCTCTATAAATTTAAATAAGTTAAATTATTTATAACTCTTCACTTGTTTATTTTTTAATATTTTTTCATAGTTGTTATTTTTGAAGCTAATCTCATTATTGTATCCAACATCAGATCTTAACCACAGTGTTACAACTCCATCTCTTGTGCTTATTGCAATGGTCATGAACAAGGTGAAAATATTTTTTAATGTTTAATTAAACTTTCTAATATTTAGCATAATGAGTTGATGCAGTATTAGATTTAGTATTATATATATATATATATATATATATATATATATATATATATATATATATATATATATATATATATATATATATATATATATATATATATATATATATATATATATATATATATATATATATATATAACTCTTTTTGACTTTTGATGCATTTTTCTGCTATTGTTGAATTGTTGAATCGTGCAAATTTTCATTATGGTGAATAAAATTTGCTATTAACAGTGAAATTTTTGCGAAAAAATCTGTCTAAATATCCTGTCTACCTTTTAAGGACCTTTTATTATTTATATGCATTATTTGTAAACTATATTAAGAGTAAAATCAACTATATTCCCTTATTGGTTCTACCATGAGTTCCCAAGAGTTTTTTCATATACTCAAGGGTAAATTAACCATGACTATATTATAATTTTAATGCTAATTGTGAACTAAAACTGTTGTTTAAAATATTAAGTTTTGCAGTGTTGATATTGTAACATAATTATTTTTCCGATATTTTGTGGAACATATTTAGAAACTGAACTATTATTTAATAAAACATATTCAAAAGTACTTTTATTTGTTCTATGATAAATTGGTTAGACAAGGTACAATTATTTTATAATTTTTTTTTCAAATTGAAATTAAAGAACTTACGATTATGAAAAAATATGAAAAAACTTCTTCCAGTTCGAATATGTTCAAATTTAAAAGTTCAAACTTTTGTCATTTTTTAAGAGTCTCAAGTTTGAACTTTTTTCCTCCAAAAGTTCAAACGTGTATATATATCAAAATTAGGTTCTTAATTATAATTTTTTAACAGTTAAACCATCTTTTTTAAACTGTGACTTTGTTAGACAATTTTTTTTACTCTTAAATTTTGTTGCGCAATACTTTTTTTCAAAAGCAACACTTTTAAAGTTTGTCACCAATGGAATATGTAAATCAATGATTTAGAATGTTAAGTTTTAAAGTTAAAATACTTACATGTGTTATATATTTTTAATTATTAAAGAAATGACATGGTGATACCCATAAAATAGATTGTTAAAATTTCGTTAAGATATATAAGCTTAAATCTACATCATAATGAAGGATTTCAATCACTTGGAATGTTAAGAATTTAAGGTACAATGCCAGCAACAAAAGCCGTTAAATTGATCAGTGATATGTTTAATTCATTTGATTTAAATTTGGACAAAGGCATAGTAGCTTCTGTTACTGATGGAGGTAGTTTAATGAAACAAATTGGTCATTACACTAAACCTGAGCATCAAATGTGTTACAACCACACTATTCATCTATGTGTGATTAATGTGGTCTTAAAAAAAAAAAAAAAGTTGACGCCCATGGTTCTAGGTTATGATCAAGGTTACAGTGATAATGAAGATCGAACTGAAGTTGGTGATGATATAAAAAAAAAACTTTTAATGCAGTTAGTGAAGATTCTATTCAATTATTGAAACTTGAATATCAAGAAACTTGCAAAAATTAGAATATAGATTAAAAAATTTTGTAGATTACCAGTGAGCAATGATGATGAACTTCAACCAAACATAATTGAAAAGTTTGGAAAAAATAAATCTTTAATTTGTGATTCAAGAACAAAATCCAGCAGTACTATTGATATGCTTGAACATTTTTTAGAGGTGCAACCAGAAGTAAAAATAGCTATGATTGGTACGAATTTGATTTTCCTCTAACTGAAAATGAGCTGATGTCATAAATATACTTTCTGTTGCTTTAAAACCACCAAAATTGGCCATTAACACTCTTTCAAAAGGAGATGCTGATTTTTTGTATTCTGAAATTGTGATTGAATTTACAAGAAAAAACGTCATGAAGTTAATACTCCCTATAAGTCAACTTGTTAAATAGATATATTAAATAGATATTTGAATATAGAATAATTGAAAAGAAGAAACATTCATTTAATTCATCTCATGAAGTACTTTTCAAATCTGAATGTCTTAGATAAAGATGATTTGGTAACAAGATTAAGAAAAAGATTATTAATCTTGTTACTAATCTCATTCAGCGATTATTTCAGCCATCTGACAATATGCAACTAATCTCATTCAGCGATTATTTCAGCCATCTGACAATATGCAACTAATCTCATTCAGCGATTATTTCAGCCATCTGACAATAACAAGGAAGTAAATACTGGTAGTATAACTGATAACGTAAAAAGTTTAAAAATGAATTAAATTTAGTTCAACAACTCATACTTTTTATTGAACAACCAGACACTGAAATGAAACTTGACCATCAGGAAATTGGAACAAATCTTGTTCAAAAGAAAATAGCTGTTTTTGAAGCTAGCAAAGCTAGGCCCATGTATTTAGATTTACTTTTCAAAGCTCTTCAAACAATTCCTCCTACATCTGTAGAAGCTGAGAGAGCTTTTTCTAGTCTTGGATTTTTTGCTACTAAAATAAGTTCTTTAAAGGACGAAAATTTAGATGTACTAAATATTTTAAAGCAAACTATCAGCAAACTTTTTTAGAGCAAACTACTTACTGAGTACTCATGATATTATTTGCTTTTTTCCTAATTAATGATGATAAACCAATAAATTAACAGATACCTTTCTACTACTTTTGTGTGTTATAACATAACTAAAATAAAGTTTGAAATTGAACTTTTTCCCGCAATAGTTCAAGTATGTTCAGGCTCAAACTTTTAAAAAAAGGTCTGACTGGAAGGCCTATGCATGAGTACCCATTATTGTGTTATGAGTTATTATTGTGGCTAATTGCAAGAGAAGCATTAAAACTTTTACATTTAATAAAAGATATAATATTTTATATTTATATATAATTATCTAAATAATATACTTATATTTCTATTTTTTAAAAAGATTTAATACATAGCATATTTATTGCATAGCAAAGTCATTAATTTATTCCTAAGTCTTCTCTTACTTTTTAATTCAAGTTTTTGGGCGTGATTATTAAAATGTTATTAAAAAACTTAAATTTACTTTTATTATTTAAAACCGTTTATTTCATATTCTAACTGCAATTTTATTTTAAATGAGAAAGTTTGAAGCTTATATAGTTTAATCACATTGTAAAATATAGTTATGAAAACGTTTTAAAAATATAAAATGCTTAGTGTTTCATATTTTAATCTAATCAAAACATAAGTTTTACATTTAATCTAATTGTAACATTTTATATTTCATCCATGTAAATTTGAATTAATCATTCTGATTGACTTGAATTACATTTATAATCTGTTTTAAAAGTCGCTTACAAGACAATAAGTACTAAGGAATTGATTTATTTTAATTTTTTTATGACAAACTTGGTTCTAATATAAAATTGTTTTTAATTGAGTTAGAGCAGAAATTTTGAAAGTTTTATTCAAATTGTAAATATTTTTAATAGTAAAATATTTTTTGTATAGTCGTCATTGTTTTTTGTTTCTTAAAAATAATTTTAAAAGTAAAAACATTCTATTGCAAACATTAAAGTAGGGATTTCCTGGATAGCATTTTTCAAAAATCTGGCCAGATACCAGATAACCGTACAATCAAAAATTATCCGGCTGGATAATTTTTAATTATCCAGTCATTAATCTGACTGCATATTATTTTAGGTAATTGTATCTACAGACAGATGTGTTTCTTACAAAATTTTCAATGCGTGTTTTGACAATTCAAATATTTTAAAATACTGCTATGGTAAACATTTTAAAATGAAAGCTTTTTAAAATAAATGATCCCTCTGAATTGACAACAGCATGTTCTATGTAAAAATCAAAATTTGTTTTTTACAACTTTACTGCATAATGACGTCAAAAAATTGTATGAAAAGAAAAATTAGAGTTGTAAAAAAAGGAAAATAAAAAATAAAAATGAACCTTTGGCTCAACTCCACAAGATTCTTTAACTCTACAAGGTTCTTCAACTTCACAAGATTTTTTAACTCCACAAGGTTTTTTAACTCTACAAGATTCTTCAACTCCACAAGATTCTTCAACTCCACAAGATTTCTCAACTCCACAAGGTTCTTCAACTCCACAAGATTCTTTAACTCCACAAGATTCTTCAACTCCACAAGATTCTTCAACTCCACAAGGTTCTTCAAAAGATAGCATGTTAATTATAAAAAGTGCTTGAAATGGAAATCAAATGTTTATCCAATTTTGACACTTGCTTTTTCATTTCACATCTAAATTTTTGTTAAAGTATTCATCAAAATGATATGATATATATTAATGAAAAGTCAAATTAAAGCAAATAAAAAATAGCTATGATAATTTCTTTAGATAACCAACCATTAATCAATCATTATTAACATAACTAACCAATCAATCATTAGTAACATAACCAACCAATCAATTAGTAACATAACCAATTAGTACTAATAATACAAAATGGTTGGTTATCATATACTGCTAAAAGATTTAGCACTTAATTTATTATAACCAGCATAACCAGCGTCTTCTGCATTTTTGGAGAGATTGTTTTCTGAATATGGATTTATGAGAAAAAGAAAAATTAAAAAGAAAAATTAAAAAGCTTAAAAAAATGCTATTGTTAACACATATTAATGCAAATGAATTCTTTCAAATTTCTTGTGCATAGTTAACTCTTACTTAATTGAACTATATAATTTAAACCAATTTTTTTTTTAATTTACTAACATTAGATTATTTTAAAAAAATAATATTTAAGAATTTGTGTTCTAGGTTATCTCATTCGGTTAATGCAAACCCCTCCCCCAAATTTATAACATTTTTTATAATATTTTTTATTTTAGTTTTTTATTAATTTTGTTTATTATTATTATTTTTTTTTGTACAGTGCAATATTTCTTTATTTTAGTGCCACTTTTAATGTTTTAAAGATGTGTACAGTGGAATATTTTTTTATTTTAGTGCCACTTTTAATGTTTTAAAGATGTATACAGTGGAATATTTCTTTATTTTAGTGCCACTTTAAATGTTTTAAAGATGTGTACAGTGGAATATTTCTTTTAAGCATACTATATGACGTATGAATATTTTTTTATCATACAATGTATAGATATTGTTTTAATATAACATTGTTATTCTTTATAATATCTTTTCAGTTTTATTATATGATGTGAATTTCAGTATATCAAATTATCAAAACGCTATATACCAGAAGCAATATGTTTTGTCAGTAAACTACTATACTTGGCCACTCCTATGAAAAAAAGTATATTTTTTTAAATTTATAGTTCTATCAAAAGCTTTTTGTTTTATTTTTGCTTAACTTAAAGTTAAAAACTTATATGTTGATATGTTGATACATACATACATACATACATACATACATACATACATACATACATACATACATACATACATACATACATACATACATACATACATACATACATACATACATATGTATGTAAGTATGTATATACACACTGTATTTACATAGATACATACATTAGATTTAATTGTGTTTAGAAACTTCATTTTGGATTTTAAATTTACACAAAGAAGAACAAAATTACTTGATGATTAAAGAAAAAATGTATGTGAATTATAGAGAAACTGTTTTTTATGTTTAAAAAATTACAAATAAATACCTTGGTGAATTCTGCTTTTCTACCTTTAGCCCTTAATTCTCAAAAAAAAAAAAAAAAAATTAGTCATCAGAAAATTTTAAAATTATTAATATAGTTGAGAAAATAATTTCATTAAGTTTTTCCTTTCACACTTAAATATTTTCTAATAAAGTTGAAAAATTTTTATAATAAATGGAGTTGAATAATTTTTATAAGACTTAAGTAGAAAAACTGGAATGGTAAATAAAATTGTTGTTCATGGTTTAAATAATTTTTCTGGTTGTTGGATCATTCCATATGAAATCATCCAGACCATGACACCCTTACATCTCATAATTTGTTCATTTTTACCTCACTTGCAGTCTATATTAAAAAAATAATAACTGCAAAAATTTTAGTTAAAAATACACATGGGTTCCAGAGATATCGTCAATTAAAATAATGCTGACTCAGCATTTTAGTGATTATCTGAAGCGACTACAAAGTGATTTTGACATATAGTATCTTCATAATGACTTGGAGAAATTTCCTAAAATTTGGTACCCCAATAGATTTTTAGATTTGCGGAATCCAAGAAGAGAACCCTCAAAACTCTATTGTCTCAAGAAATTTCTCATTTATCCAATTTTGATCAAAATTATTGACTTGTAAATTCATGATTTTTGAAAGTAAATTGAAAACTGTGGCCCGAAATTCCGAATAAAAAGTTTATTTATCATTATTTTACCTTAGTTATACTGAAAAAAATTAGATTCATCAATTGTTTCTCTAATACTTGATCAATATTTGTATTTAAAAATTGTGTCTTTTTAGAAAAATTTAAATTTGTAACGAAAGCAATTGAAATATTTTTTCAAACATTCATTTGAATAAAACATCAAATAGTGTTATTATATCTTTTCTTTCACTTAACATGAACTCTTCCTCACCTTTCTTTGTTGTCCAAGGGACACATGAAAACTAACCTTATATATAGAAATTTGCTTCTAAACTGCTCGCGGGTTTGTTTTTTAATTAAAAAGTAATCTTTATTCATTAATAAATGTTTTTATTTTTTTTTAAATGGGCTAATATTGCGCTTGTGGCTTTGTGTCTTTTTTTTAAATCTTTTTTTAATACTTTCTTTTTGATAAAGTTTTTTTAAAAATAAAATTGAAAAATATAACTTACAACATAATTTTGTCTAATATTAATATAAAAATAAATTACATATGTGGGAGGACGAGGGCGGCAATGCAAATGAAATATTTGTAATTTATGTTATTTTACTTTTATATAAAAAAATTTTATCCTTTGAAAAAATATATTCCTTTGAAAAAATATATTCCTTTAATCCGGGAGGCTTAATAAATGCGAATTGGCATAAGTGCGAACTAGCATATATGCGAGGCGTTGAAAAAACTGGCACAAGTGCAAGCTGGCATAACTGCGAATTAACATAAGAGCAAAATAACAATTTGTGTTATGCCAATATTTGCAACTTTATTTGGCACACTTATGCCAGTTCGCACTTATGCCAATGTTTGCAAATTCTTTTGGCTCACTTATGCCAATTCGCACTTGTTCCAGTTCGCTTTTGTACCAGTTTTTGTAACTGCTTTGCACTTATACCAATTCGTACTTATGCCATTCGTACTTATGAAATTTGCACTTATTCAGTCGTCCCCTTTTATCAGGAAATACTATGTTTCTTTAATAAGGATAAAAAGCTCAAATGTCTTGACATTGCTAAATATCGCGACTCTCTGCAAAGACTAAAAAGTAGAAAATAAAATATAGCAAAAACATTTGCTGAAAAATTTATTATTTTATAATCTTTTCTTTCACTTAATGTGGCGCTCTAGAAACACTTTATATAGAAATTTGCTACTAAATTGCTTGCAGGTTTGTTTATAATAGTAATATTAATTAACAAATCTTTTCATTTTAAAAATAGGCTAATATTGCTTGTGGGTTTCAAATTTTTTTTAATATACTTTGTTCTCTTTTAAAAATAAATTTTTTTGGGTTTGTATTTCTTTTTAAATCTTTTTTTTTTTTTATAAAATTGAAAAAGTAACTTACAAAGTTATGTTAACTTTGTTTAATATATATATATATATATATATATATATATATATATATATATATATATATATATATATATATATATATATATATATATATATATATATATATATATATATATATATATATATATATATATATATATATATATATATATATATATATATATATAATACATCTGTGGGAGGACAGGGGTTGCAATGCGAATGAAATATTTGTACTTTATGTTATTTTATATAAAAAATTTATTTTTTAAAAGAAAAATATTCCGCTCCTTTAATCAGCAAATACTCTGTTTCTTTAGGATAAAAAGCTTGACATAATTACAAATGTCTAGACAAACGCATTGCTAAATATCGTAACTCTCTGTAAAGACTAAAAAGTAGAAAATAAAATATAGCAAAAACATTTGTTAAAAATATAATCTTTTTGTACTAAAAAGTCGAAAAAAAAATTTTAAAAGTTAAATTTAATAGTACTATATAAATCTTGTGCATACCTGTCAATCTTTAGTTTACTGAACTATTAATTTAACTTAAAAAGTTTATTTTCGACTTTTTAGTACAAAAAGATTATATTTTTAGCAAATGTTTTTGCTATATTTTATCTATTGACTAGTTTAGGATGTTTATAGTCATAAGCCAGGGAAGGCCAGGGATCCTCTGATAAACTCTGCCCCCCCCCCCTCCTATCTCCCTGGCATTTTTTTTTTAATGCATTAAATGATATAATAATGATTAATTATTAAAATTCAATTTAAAAACATAACTTTTTTTTTTAGTTTAAGTTTGAGAAACAATTTTTTTTCATTATTTACCTCTTATTTCAAAGTAAGCACTCTCAAAACTAAGATCTTTACACCATTTTAAAAAGCATAAATTTTAAAACCAAAAATATTGAAATATTTTTAAAACATTTTATCTTCATGGTATTATTTAGTAGATTAATACTAATATAGTCATTGACATTACAAGGTGGACAGTGGGATTTATTTAAACCCCCCTCCTTCTCAGCCTTCCACCCAAGGATTTGAAAAAAAGAAAGACAAATTCTAATTGCAAAATAGGTGAATAAAATTACAACAAAATTATTTTAAATGTATTTTTTTTTTTTTTTGTAACCAACTGCTTATATTCTTCAAATCTATGATCAATATTATGATCTGATATTGTGGGTGTAGAAATTAGGCATATAACTTCAAAATTGAGTACCCAACACTCCTCATTTCTCATTAGCCAAAAAAAGGTTTTTACCTAGTCCATGTGGATGCATGAATCTGACTTATATCAAGCTCACTTACATCTTCAGCAGTCCCTACACTTCAAAATCCATCATAAAAACATGAAATATAATCTGTTTTTTTTTTAATGTTTAATAAAATCTCTTTATTAGGTTTGCTTTTTGGAAGGATATCAAATACTTCAATACATGTATCAATATTTGTTTTTTTATAATTTATAGTGTTTGAAGCAATTGGAATAAAATGATTCTATGTCCTTGTGCCAGGAGCTGTTCTTTAACCTAATTATTTTTCTAATTGTGCTCGTGTTTGGTTGATTTCATCTTTAGAAAATAATTTAAAACAAAATCCATTGATCTTGGCTTTACAAAAGGAGTGCATTAAATTAACATCTAAAATCTGCCCAGTAGTTATTTGTTTTAGACTTTCTTGACATACTACTCTTTTAACAGTCCCACCAATACCATCACAGGGGGATTTACCATGACTGGAAGCAAAAAATACCGATTCAGCTTTTAAATCAATGTCTTTGCTGTGATGACAAAGTTTAATAAAGTTTTTAAAATTTTTAAATTGTGCTGCACAACTATCAGAAAAGTATTTCACACTTGATACATCAGGTAGATTTTCTTTGATATACAGTTGCAAAAAATAAAATAGCACCACTAAGCGTATTTTGCTTTTTGTTAAGAAAACATCATGCAAAATAAATTTTTTTTATAGCTTTGCTGTTTAAAATATTAGCTAACATGTTTATTTTATAAAACAAATCATTTTGGGAAAAAAACTGCTTGGTGTTGTTCGATTTTAATCAAAAATGTCAATTCTGACCGAAAAAATAAAATAGCACCACACAACATGGATGCAACAGTACAAACAGTTCGAAGTTGTCTTTGAGTTAATGGATTAAAAGCCTGTAGCTCCTAAAAAGTTCCACTTCTAAGTTATAAAGCGTATTGCGTTTGCTAAAAAACACTCAAATTGGCCACTCGAAAAATGGAGGAATATTTTATGAACAGACGAAAGTAAGATTGTGCTTTATGATGGAAAAGGCTCTCGGGCGTATGTCAGAAGGCCGCCGAATGCAGAATACAATACAAAATATACCATCAAAACTATTAAACATGGAGGTTGCAGTATAATGATATGGGCATGCTTTTCTTATAACGGAGTAGGGCCCATTCATTACATTACTACTATTATGGACCAACATGTTTATGTTGATATATTGGATAAAGTGATGTTGCTGTATGCAGACTATAAAATGCCGTTGTCCTGGGTGTTCCAACAGGACAATGACCCAAAGCACACTAGCAAGAAGGCAAAGAATTGGTTTGAAGACCATAAAGTGAACATTATGGACTGGCCAGCACAGTCGCCAGATCTTAACCCAATCAAGAATTTGTAGGCTAACGTAAAGGAGGTGGTTGCTGCTGCCAAACCCACCACGAAGGAGTTACTTTGAAACGTAGTTAAGGGGACATTCCACTAAAGTGATGTCAGGACTAGGTTAACTTGATGCAAAGATGTTGTGTAGCTGTCATTGCCAATAAAGGTCACGCTACAAAATACTAATGCGTTAAGAAATATCTAATATTTATTTTAAAATGTTTAAAACAATTGATCTCATAATATTTCCTTTTAAAGTACACTTTAAAGCTGTGGTGCTATTACTTTTTTTGCGTTTTATTTGATTTTTTTTGAATTTTTGTTTAATAAATGAATACTATGTATTAAAACTTGTATATTTTGTTTTTTATAAAAATTAATAGCCATTTTGCTTTTAAATATGTATTTAAAAGATTTTTAAACTATCAAAAATAGTTAAAAATTCCAATTTTAACTGATTTTTGGTGGTGGTGCTATTTTATTTTTTGCCGCTGTATCTAGTTATATCTTTCTGAGTCTTGTAAATAAATCTTGTGTTATGATCAACATCTTCTGAAAGGTAACAAAAAGATTTGTGTTTGAGAACTTTTTTCTCTATAAAATGAAGTACAATTGAAAAAAGTGAACATTGACTTTTACTCCAGTGATAACTTTAAACATCATCCTGAACAACATATTGATAATTTTCAGCAAAATCTCCTAAAATTAAGCATTCGTTTTAGTTAAGATTTTCTTTACAGTTTTTCAAGTATCTACTTGTCAATGCTTGTTGTCAATGCTGCCACTTAATAAATCATTAAATTCATCTAGTGGCAATGATAGTAATAGTAGTGTTGTACGATCGGTACTCTACCATTGCTTGAATGCTACATCTTCTTCGAGCTCATGCTCCATAAACTCAGGCACTAAAAAACTTTTTAATGCTTCAATACCCCTGGTAATGGTTACATCGATGCAACATACATTCTGCATTTTCAAGCAAACAAACAATCAATGTTATGAAATCTTTATAACTTTTATTCCACCTAATGGCTTATATACTTTATAACTTTTATTCCACCTAATGGCATCAATGAGAAATTTTGTATTTTGGTGATGTATGCATACACATACATTATGAGTACCTGATGTATTAGTTGTAATACACCATTTAGGTTTAAGAGTACAAAACTTTTTTAAACTGACTTTGATGTTAGTCTTTTTTAAAATGCAACATGTAATTCATTTCGATTGAGTAGCTATAATCTTTTTTGAACATGTTGGTTTTTCTTAATACTTACATAATTTACTTAACACTTAAATAATTTACTTAACACTTAAAAAAACTTATAAAATCTTTTTTTCCTGGCATCATTCTTAAAAATTCATCACTTTAATAAAAGTTAATCACTAAATTAACTGTTTCCATTAAAAGTGGGTTTCCAGTTTGTATTTTTTGGATAATGATAAAATTCCATGCTCATTTTTAACTTTTCTTGCAGTTCAAACGAGATACACTTCAAAGTAGCTTGATATTTTTGTATGTGTTCATGATTTTGGTGCAAGTGTTAACATATGCACTTTGAAGATTATGGTCATTGTTAATGTTCCTGTTTGAAATGAGGCTTTCAATTTCTATTGTTAAAGAAATTTCTTTAATGCTAATGAGACAATTTTTGCAACTCTGCCAAAAAAAAATGTTCTCAAACTTTTGTTTTGCTCCAGGCAATTTGTTTTGAAAGACTTTTTAGTTTGACTAGTGAAATTCCAAGCAGTTCCATAGTAGTATCTAACTTAATTTTTTTTTTTTTAAATTTCGTGAAGTCTAGAAAAATTTCGTGAAATCTAGGGAAATCTTTATATTACCTAAGAAATTTAGTAAAATATAAAAAATATAAAAAATTTTATAAATAATAAAATGTTTTTCATTTAATTTTTACATCAATTCTGTTGTAATTAATGTTAGATTATCTTTTATAGCAATTTACTTTCCTTGTGTGTTCCAAAAGGATTGCAACACTTTGTAATTTTTCTCTCAAAATATTTTCCATAGAATTGCTCATGATAACAACATATAATTCTTATTGAAAAATATTTTCCCTTTAAATTTGCTTGCCATATTATTTCTTCTTGTTTTTCATAGGAGAGATCTTTGAATTGAACAAAACCTTTTTTTCTAGAAAATCCAGTTTTGTGGCAATGAATGCTAAGGCTTTTTCCAATGTCATATTTCTCCATATTAAATATGTTTATTATTTATAATATTACCTGCCAAAAAATACAAAAACAATAAAGTTCACAATCATTCTTTAAGAAAATGCAAACAAATAAAGTACAACCTTTAAAATGAACAAACAAAATATTTGTTTGTTTTTGATATAATAAGAGGTAAGCATTTACCAATTTGAATTAAAATAATGAAAAAAAATGTTTCTCAAACTTAAATTAAAAGAAAAAAATTTGTTTTTAAATTGAATTTTAATAATTATTTATTATTAATTCATTTTATGTATATTTATAAAAAAAAATCTAGGGAGATTTGTGTGTGTGTTAAAGAGGGGGAGGGGCAGAGTTCATCCTGAGGCCCCCTGGCCTTCCCTTGGACCATGACTATATTAACTAGTCAATAAATAATACTATTTGATGTTTTATTTAAATAAATGTTTTGAAAAATATTTTAATTGCTTTCATTACAAAATTTTAAATTTTTTTAAAAAGACACAAATTTTAAATTTTTCTAAAAGACATTTTAAAATGCAAATTTTGATCAAGTATTAGAGAGACAATTGATGAATCTAATTTTTTTCAGTATAACCAAGATAAAATAATGATATACAATTAAACTTTTTACTCTGGATTATGGGCCACAGTCTTCATTTTACCTCCAAAAATCATGAATTTACAAGTCAATAGTTTTGAACAAAATTGGATAAATGAGACATTTACTGAGACAACCGAGTCTTAAGGGTGCTATTTTTGGATTCCTCAAGTAAAAATCTATTGGGGTACCAAATTTTAGGAAATTTATCCAAGCCATTATGAAGATACTTAATGTCAAAGTAGCTTTGTAGTTGCTTCAGATTATCACTAAAATGCTGAGTCAGCATTATTTCAGCTGACAATATCTCTGGAACCCATGTGTATTTTTAATCTTTAACCACAAACATTTTTGTGGCTAAAGATTAAAAATTATTAATTGGTGGATGTCAGTAAGTGTTAATTTGTTCTTGTTTTAAGATCAGTTATGTCATTGTTAAGATAATTATCACGGGTATAGCTTTATCAATTGGTATTGATGTATACAAAGCTATTACATCATACGATACTTGAATTTCATCTGGACTGAAAAAAAATATGAAAACAATAAAGTTCACAATCATTATTTAAGAAAATAAAAACAAGTAAAGTACAGCCTTTAAAAAGAGCAAAACTTGTCTTGAGGGTGCTGTTTTTGGATTCGCAAGTAAAAATCTATTGGGGTACCAAAATTTAGGAAATTTCCCCAAACCATTATGAAGATACTATATGTCAAAGTTGCTTTGTAGTCATTTCAGATAATCACTAAAATGCTGAGTCAGCATTATTTTAACTGACAATATCTCTGGAACCCATGTGTATTTTTAACTAAAATTTTTGCAGTTATTTTTTTTAATATGGACTGCAAGTGAGATAAAAATAAACGAATTGGGAGACGTAAGGGTTTCAAAAATGTTTTTTTTGGGTGATTATATATGAAATTACCCTGTTAAATATTGCAAGAAAATGCATAAACAAAAATTTTACGTCTGAAACTAATGCGTGTTAAATAACATTAAATTGTAAATAGCTGAAACTGCAAAATGTCACTGAAATTTGTGAATGCTGTTTATTTCTATAATATGTAACTTTCTAATAATTTTTATACTTTGTATCTATTAAACAGCAAAAAAAGTTAAGAACTAATTATTGAGCAGGGTAAAATTAAAAGATTTGATGTAAAAATAAAATTACAAAAAGACTTACTGAACATAAATTATCATCACAATCTTGATCATTTAGAAAGAGAAACACTTGATAAAAAGTTGTGATGTCTTCAAAGCCATTGAAGTCTTTGTCAGTGACTTAGGAGGTATCAGAAGTTAATAATTCCTATGAAATTATAAACTTGAAATTATTATTATTTGGATATTAGACAGAGCAATAACAGTTATTGCTGTGTGTTGTGAGATTTTGGTAATCAAAGTTTCATAGTTGACAAAAAATTAAAATAGAATAATCACATTTAAAATAGAATAATTCACAATTTCAAATGTAAAACAAAGACAAAGCCACATAATGGACAATGGTTGTAAAAGTTTTCATTTTTCACTCTTTTCCAGATATGCTGGAAACATTGGCAGTTATATTATTTCATATTTAAATGAAGATTTTTTTTAATGAACTTTAACACCATGTTAGTAACACAATCATGTGTTACTAACATGGTGCTGTTAGTAACACATGATTGGTTCAAAATAATTGTAATGGCAAGAACCTTATTTACAAAATTTGTAAACTCACTTTTTTTTTTTTGCTTTATAGTAATGTTATTTTCCAATTAAAATGTCGCGTATATATTATACCAAAATATTTTTAGATGTTACTAAATTTTTTGTTTGATAAACATTTGACTGTTCTCATACTTAAAAAGTTTGCCCATTTATACAATGAGTGTAAAACCGAAATTCATTTATAAAAATTGGTATCAACCTGAAATATTTAACACTTGTCTGAAAATAACTAATGTGTTTTAAAATTTTATTTGATAAAATTTGATATTATGAATATTTTATCCTTTTGTATCATTTTTAGAACAAAAAATGTGATGCCAGTTAGTAATGTGATGCCATTAAGTATTTCTCTATTAGCATCTGATATTCAAGAAAATATCTCAACAAGGTTTTATTTTTTTGAAGATGATTACATATTTTTTTTTTAAATAAATTTATAAAAAAAAAAATTTTTTTAGTTTTTTTTTATATTTAATTTCTTTTTTTTAGACTTTCTTGTATAAAAAATATACTATTATTATCCAAGATGTTGTGTATACTATATATTGATCTCGAAACATTTTCTGAGGTTTTTCAACCCTGTTCATTTCTATTGGAGCAGTAAGTTGTTTATATATATATATATAATATATATATATATATATATATATATATATATATATATATATATATATATATATATATATATATATATATATATATATATATATATATATATATATATATATATATATATATTAGTATATATATATATATATATATTTTATATATATATATACATATATATATATATATATTTTATATATATATATTTACATATATATATATATATATATATATATATATATATATATATATATATATATATATATATATATATATATATATTATATATATATATATATATATATATATATATATATATATATATATATATATATATATATAAATTTGTAGAAATCACTTTTTAAATTTTTTATTTTATGCAATGTTTTATTAATTAAGAGTTTTCAGAAATCATTTATAATTATGTTTACAATAAAAATATATCGTAGTAAATGTCTAGTTTTCCCTTTTGTATGTTTTTATTATAAATATAAAATTTAAAATAAATTATATAAGGTTATACTTTCATAAATTATTAAAATCTTTTCAAACAGTTTCAATGTTTTTCTAATAACTTTAGCATTTTAGCAACAGTTTAAACAAGTGAACTTTTTAAATAACTGACACGTTTTATATAATTTTGATAAGTTACTTTTCCAGTAACTTCCAATTATAATAGTGGTTGCTTGCAGCCTTGTTGCAAGTGAAGATGTTTAAAATAAAAATAAAAACTTTCTGGTCTATTTTTTTTGTAATCTATTATGTTGAGGATGAATTGCATATCATTTATAGGTACATCAACACCAATACTAGTTTATAGCTTATAATATAGTCATCTATTGTGATCTTTTGATAATTTGACCTTAATTTGCAAGCAGATGTGTTTAATGCTATATGTTCTGTTCTTTTATATTTTCCAGCAAAACGACTTCTACATCTAAAGTCTTGATTGTTAACTGTTTATTCAATGTCGGCCAGGCAATTTTGAATTTTGCAAATAACTTCTTTTCTGGACCAAAGTGCTTTTGACCTAAGTTGTCATGCACTGGTTGTGGTGTTAAATACTATTGTCCCAATATTGTGGCATCTACTTTTGTATTCTTTACTTACTGAATATTCTGTTCTTCATTATTGATTTCTGTGTTCTTTGTCCTGAATATCCTGTCTCCTTTCAATTTCTACTTTTTTTTTCCTTCCTGGCTAAGTATGACTTCCTAAGCATGACTTTCAATTTCTACTTTTTTTTCCTTCCTGGCTAAGTATGACTTCCTAAGCTAAGTATGACTTCCTAAGCTAAATATGACTTCCTAAGCTAAGTATGACTTCCTAAGCTAAGTATGACTTCCTAAGCTAAGTATGACTTCCTAAGCTAAGTATGACTTCCTAAGACTTTTCAGGATCTTAAACTTTTACTTTAATTTCAAAAAATTTTGATTTTTACCTTTCTGTCTTTTGATGTCAACAGAATGCGTTGTCATCATCTTTCTTTTGACCAGACAGTAGTCTGGGTTTTCTGTATACATTAGATGACCCAATATCAAAAAAAGTTTAACTTGACCAAGAAGTTAACAAATTTTCTATAAGGATCATATTTCTTGCTCTAAACAAGCTAATGAATACATAGAATTTCACTACTATTTTAAAGAGAAAATTGAAAGTTGTTTTCAGTGGTTTCAATATAAATTAATAATAGCATAAAATAGATTAATGGATTTTCTAATACTAAAGTTTCTCAAAATTACTTAAGTTTTTCAAAGTAGTGATATCTTTTTTAAATATAAGTTATAATTATAATTTTCCTAATAGTTAATATAAAGCAATATGTCCATATTGTAAAACGTTTTCACTTGGATGGATGTTTCACATAACCAGGTTTCATCTTTTATATTCACTACCCTAGACATTTATTAAGTTTATTAGAAAAACATAAAGTATGGCTATGTAGGCTGTGTATTGGCAAGGAGTACATGAATTCGATGAATTAACTCAAAAATTAATTTAATAAAAAAGAAAGCTTTCTTTTCTTTCATGAAATTTTCAATTTAATAATGTTGTTTATAAAGAGTTTTAGAACTGAAATGATTATAGGCTTTGTAAAAAAAGTTCCGATAATGTTGAAAAGTTTGAAAATTTTAAATTATGTTTTTTACTAAAAAGTCGCAGCCATATCTTTTTAAATTTTTATAGACATTATTATTATTATTATTCCATAGAAAAATATTTGGAATATTTATTTAAACATTTGAATAAACAATAAAAATTTTTATTATTGAGCATATTTTAAAAAAGTTGTTTAAATTTGTAGCTATGCTTAAAAACAGACATTGAAATTAACACTTGTTTATGATGAGGTCTTATTAAAAAGTTTTAAATATTTGAGTTAAATTGATATTATATATTTATTTTTAAATACAAAAGTATTAAAAAAATAAAACATTAAATGTAAGTATTTATATTTTTGTTTCCTTTTTTCAAAACATCTTTTTTAATTTTTTTATTTTTTTTTTATTTTTTGAAAATCTTTTTTTTTTGTGAAAGTTGACAAGAATGGCCTTATTTTTAGAATGCCCACTGACAAATATCCAAAGACTATAAAAGTAATATTTTATTATTTTTATTATTTGTTTTTAAAATAGCACCTGAGTTAAATTAAAGTTACAGATTATTAAATTAGTTACATTGTTACATGTTGTTGTTAATCCTTTAACTGTGTGAAAAATCAATAATGGTAAATAAAATAAGATGTTTCGTTAACATCTGACTAAGATACTAATTGTAGTAGACTGTATAAAAAAATTAGTAAAAATATTTTTTAGTTCAGCCTATATATTTTTTTCAGACATTGTTTCAGCTAAGCATAGTTAAGCGCTAAACCTGGTTAGCCAGCAAATTCTGGTTAGTCAGCTAAACTTGGTTAGTCAGCTAAACCTACTTAGCCAGCTAGACCTATTTAGCCAGCTAACTCTGATAAGCCTAGTTTATCAGCTAGTTATCAAGCCTGGACTCTGTTGACATTAAATTGAAAGCTGTATTAACTGTTACTTTACACATAATTGATTTAACTATTTTTTTAGTCTCTTCATGAAGAAGTTTTATCATTAATGCGCTCCAAGAATAGCTTGGTACGGACCCCATTAACACTTCACGCAAGAAAACCTATTCCATTACCATTATTTGAACCAAAGTTTGATGTTGAGTATGTAATTAACAATTATTGATACATTTTTTAAATGCACTTTTTTTATCATAACATTTATTTGTTTTTTGTTTTTTTAATATTTATGACAGTCATAATTTTTAATTTCAGGAGTTATTAATTTTATAAGTCTACTACAGTGATCTTTTAAAAAAATTACAGTTACTAATAAATTTTTCATATATAATTTATATACAGGGATTATCTTTATCTGGATATTTCCAGAATTCCAGATGTTTTTTGTAATTTTCAGTTTTTCCAGATATCTAAAACATTTACCAAACATACAAATTTAGGTATATATTTTTGTAATATATGTGTTTTTTAAGCTTTTTCACTCATTGCTTATACGAAAATTAGAAAAAGTTTGAAAAAAAATGGAAACAATTCAGCTGAAAGCTTTTTAATTGGAAAATATATTCCAGATTTTTTCTGGATATTTCACTAATACAATATTCTGGATTTTCAAAATGTGACTTGGATGATGTATTTCAAAATATGACTTGGATGATGTAACAATAGTTAATGATTCAGCATGAGAAAAAAACAACTACACTTAATAAAAATATAGATTGAGTTTTGCATGCTAACTATTATACAAAATTAATATTTACTAATAAGAAATTTAAAAAAGTTTGATTAATTGATTTGAATTCTTATTTTTAAACTAATTCAAGTATTATTAAGATGAGAAAACAAAGAATATTATTAAAGGGTTAAAAACTTTAAATTGAATCAGGAGTAAAAAACTGAATAAACAAGAATGTCATGTGTGAATAAGTTTTGGTTGATGGAACTAGAGATGATAGCTCATTTGATCAGTGAACATGATAGTATTTGTAGAAAAAATGAACTTTACAACAAGTCAAGCCACGAAGAAAATGGAGATAAGCAGATGCACGAAGAAAATGGAGATAAGCAGATGAATGGAGATAAGAAAAATGAATGAGATAAGAAAATGGAGATAAGCAGATGCACACTACACACTAGTTGTAGTTTTGTCGAATAGGGAATAATTTTGTCGATTAAATAAACAACAACAAGGGGTATTAAGCCCCAAGGGGCATTAATCCCCATTTCTTCTGTTCATATAATGAAATGGATAGTGCTATTGTATTAAGGGAGAGGGACATTAAGTTCTACATCATAGAGACTAACTAACCAATAAGGGAAATTTTCTTGACTATTCTGGGGTTTCTAACCAACGACATTTCTTTTAAATTAGAATTTTTTGATGAGTGATTTTTCCATCCAGTTTCCAGTTTGTTTCAAACTTAATGAAAAACTTTAATAAAAGCCAGTGCTTGTTTGTTTTGACTTAAAAAACTTATTTCTACATTGAAACTTATATATTTTCCATACAAATACAAGTACATATAAACTAAGTACTTTTTTTAAGTTTTGAACTATCTTTGTTTATCAATGAGTTAAAATACTGATATTTGTAGAGCAAATGAAGGTAAAAATTTTAGTAAAGTAAAATGACAATTGGAGGAATGTCTAAGAGATTGCTTATAAATTCACTTTAATACTAAATTTCTATTTAAGATTTTAAATGCATTTTTGAGAGAAATATGGTTCTATTGAATATTAATTAATTTAATTAGTTTATTAAGATAAATGTTTTAATTAGCAGGGGCTTTATGCCAACTGTTTAAAAAAGTGATTAAAACAATCAAATAACATTGATCAGATAAATAAAATTCATGTTTTAATTTTATAAAAATTACACAGATATAGTTTAAATTAAAAAGAAAAGTTATTTATTTGTAGAAGTAGTTTAAATTGTTCTTTAAATATAGTTTTGATAATGGAGTTTATTACCCCCTTTATTTAGCAGAATTGTTGGGGAATACAAAAAGAATAAGAAAGGAGGCAGGAAAATCTATGCAACTAGCAAGACAATAACAGATGTCTACAATTATGTCATATGTAAGCATATGTCTGCTAATCAGGAATCCAAGCACTATTAAAAATACTTTCCAGCACTAATGCTCACAATTAATAAACGACCGGATTTGATATTTGATTGGGGCCGGGTTTGATAAAATACAGCCAGGACCGGGTTTGTGACCGGGGCTGCATAAACATTTATACATCTTAAAGTACATTTTTTTTCTTCAAAATTTATGCTTGATTTTGTATATATGTGTTTATAAACATCATTATGATCAACATGATCATCATCACCATCATCATGATCACTATCGTCATCATCATGATCATCATAATTGTCATCATCATTATCATCATTATCATCATCATCATTATCATCATTATCATCATTATCATTATCATCATTATTGTCATCATCATTATCATCATCACCTGCTGCTGATGATGATGACATTATCAGGCTTTAGCCTTCCTCTTTTATGCTGTTTCTCTAATCATAGTCAATGCTCAAATGAGCTATCTCTATTACAATAAACCAAAACTCGTTCTTGCTTGGCTTCTTATTCAATAAGTTGCATCCTTTTACTGTATCTGTCCCTATTTATTAAATACTATAATAGTAAATGTAAGTATAAAATTATAATATATAAAGAATTATAAATTTATTTTTAGCCCCGGCTATCAACCTCTGCTAAATCTTATAATTTTGCTGGGACCAGGGCCGGATTTGCAAAAAGTCTCATTTTTAGCCGGGGTCATGGCCCCGGTCACTTACTACTCATAATGCTTCTGCCTCAACATTACAACTACGTGTTTTGCTGTCTACATCATAGTTATCTGCAGCATCATAAACAGAATCATCACCTTTATCTTGAGCACCTGCAGAAAGAATACAGAAGCCATTGTCTACTTCATTTTCAGAAAAGTCATTTAATGATGATTTTTTTCTTAAAGAACTGCTGCCCAGAATTGCGCAAATTTCTGGGGATGGTTGGTTGGTCAGAACCATCAGGTTTTGATACAGAGAAACCCTAACAGGTAATGTATGTTTGAAACAGCTGAGAGAAGAAGCAGTAAAAAAAAAATGCTACAATAAAAAAGACCATAACTAAAAGAAGAAATCTTCCAGCCCAAGATAATAGGGAGAGTGATGAAGATGACGACACTGTGTCTAAAGTGTGGTATTCAAAGAGGTCAAAGATAAGAATGTTTGTGCAGTGACTTATGTGATGCTTGGTACCATGTTGAATTGCACAGAAATTCCAGACGGAGCTGATAGTAAAACCTTAGACTGAATATGTAAGAAGTGCCTAAAAATGATGTAAAAATATATGTTTACATAGTAGAGCTTATTGCCCTCATTTTTTAAAATTTGATTTGGTGTTGTAACTTTTGTTTGATTTGGTGTTGTAACTTTTGTTTGATTTGGTGTTGTAACTTTTGTTTGATTTGGTGTTGTAACTTTTGTTTGATTTGGTGTTGTAACTTTTGTTTGATTTGGTGTTGTAACTTTTGTTTGATTTGGTTTTGTAACTTTTGTTTGGATTACAGATTTGATTACAGTACAAATAGAAATGAGTGTTGTCTATAACTAAAAATTATTTCCAGTTTGAAATTAATATCTTTTGACTTATTTCAAAGAGAGAAAAGAAAACTACTTGAAAACATGGGGCTTAATGACTCCTGTTACCTATGTTTAGATTGAAAATTTGATTATTTGAAAGTTTTAGTTACATGATGTTAAGGGCTAATAAACAGACTGATCTATGAACAATTTTTTTGGTGTACATCCAAAGTATGTTAAGATATTGAGTGTAAGTTTGAATTTGAATAATTTTTAAATCATTAAAAATTAATTTAAGGTTTTCTTTCTTATTAGAAGTTGTTTCTGTAAGTTTACTTTAAAACATTAAACAGTAGATAGTAGAAATGCATTAGGAAAAACATTACAAATTAAACAAATGCACTAGGAAAAACATCACTAAAGCACGGCTGTTTCAAACGGAGCTTAACGGCTTCTTGTTATTTTTTGAAAATATTGACCTAAGGAGTGTTACTAAAACTTCTATAACTTTTAAAATATTAAAGATAATTTTGTTTTGTAAAAAGAATAGAAACACCAATAAAATGTTTCATCTTACGACGTTTAATGCATTAGTAAAAAAACTTCTTTAAGTTTAAAAAAAACGCGACAAATAATGAAGTTGGCTGAATTCAAGTAATTTGATGTTACTTTTTATCAAAAAAAAAAAAACAGAAAAATTTATTTCTGATAGTTATTCTCAAATATACCTATTGTTTCACTATTATAAAAACAAAAAAACCTTATTTAATTGTTTAAGGATAGCTAAAATGTCTATTTTATTGAGGTCTGAAAGCAAACTGCACTTTTCGCAAAGTTACAAAAAATGTAGTTAAAAGGGGGATTAGCTGTTAAAAGAGTATATTTTTAAACCTAGGAGTTCTTGTTTTAGAAACTTATTTTCCTAAGCCAATAAATTGATTGCATTGCGAAATAAAGCCAGATTTCGATTTTGGAATATTTAGTCAAAACATTTAAAACTTAAGCATTTATTTTTTTCTGTGCATACAGTTCTAATAATATGGTGTAAAGTTGTTAATAAATAAAGACTCACCAAGTCTAATAAAATAATTCATGACCAAATTTGAGTTTAAGTTTTTGAATTAACCTCGCTTTTGGTAGTAGAATTATTTTATAGCACTTGAATCTATAATCTCTTCTCTCAGTAAATAAAGTGTTTGAATATACAAATAGCTAATTGAAATCTTTTGAAAATTTGTTTTTATTCCCATTAAAAACTGGTTTATAATCAGTTGGTTTACTGATAGGTTCTTTAAGTAGTAAACTATCTTTGTACATCCAATTGATATCAGATTCATACTCATGCTAAACCAGAAAAACAATTGCTCCACTCAAAATTTGATAACGTTTACAAATTCTTAATTTATTGAACTAAATTTTTACATCAACTTGATATGAGATTTATATTCCATTCTTTAACCAGCGAGGAGGTATGTAGAGCAGAGGTACTGCAAAGGTAGAACTAACTTCTGGTGATAAACATCGAATGGATATGTAAAAT